CATGAAGTGATCAGGGAATGTGATAGTCTTACCACTCGCAAAACAGCTATATCACGAATCATGGTGCATATTATATCATACAGATATATATACACTGCATGTCACACAACTGTATCAAAACATTTTCCTGATAATTTAAAAATGAATTAGTCACTTTTATAGGTTCACTTTAAAATCAATTTCAGCATCTAGAATGAAATTTTAAAATGGTGAAGCTGTTCGAGCATTCAAGAAGCAGAAAGTACCATGGAATACAATTTTATATACAAATTCATTAAATTGTTTTCCTCTTTTCTTTTCTTTTAATATTTAGGAGTCAAATAAAGATACCGGTAGATATTTTTGTCATTAGGTACACCATGGAGAACTGGAGATGAGTCATTATTTTACAATCTTCCTTAAAGGTACTATGTCCCTTTTGCAGCCAACCTCAAATGCTGTAGAACTTTGCAGGAATTATGAATATGTCATGTATGTCCTATCTGTGAAATTTAAACGTTAGCGGTGTCCTTATATTCAAATTATGCAAGGAAACCCATTTACTTGCTAGACTTCACTGTCAGACACTATTGAGTGACTAACTGGCTTTTTTTCTTCTTTGGTAATAACATACATGAAAAGAGTTGTAAAGGGTACATGAGCATTTGTCTACATCAATAACCCACTTCTTGTGATGGCCAAGATTAAACTGATTGAATCTTTGCACAGCATAAAACGTATGACCATTCTGTACAATTGTCTGAAAATCAAGACCATTACTTTTGGGCTCTATTGGGCTCTATAGCCCTAAAGTCGATTTGACAACTAATAGTCGTTATTTTCCCACTTGAAGACATTTTCAAGCCCCACCTTTTTAGGGAAGTTCTAAATTAGTATTATCTTTCAAATGCAGTTGGTATAGCTTTTTCATTTTTTTGGCCTGCAAATGGGACATAGTATCTTTAAGATCAATAAATACATGTACTCTACATGTGTGAACCTTGGGTCCCTTTCAATAGGTTGTTAAATGCACTGTCGATTTTACCTGGTGCATGTGAACGTTTGATGTGGCCGAATTACAGAACAATAAGAGTACCTCCCCCGTCCTAGACTAGTCAAATATAAAGTTACTTTAATTGTGTGTTTACAAGGAGCCAAGGACTGTCATTTCAGTTATCAAAGAGCATGTACATGTACAGACAATACTCTATGATCCTCATTTTGTGAAGATGTATTTGTCTTACTTTTTGTGTACATGTACTTTAATTTTACATGTAAATACTAGAATAATGTAGGTACTGTTACAAACTTTATCTACTTTATTCTATTTTTTGCAATTACAACTTAGGATTGTTTAATTAAATCGCTGCTTATTTTCCTTCATACTTCAGTTTATTGAGTATAACAAAAACTGAAGATGACAGCACAAGTCATGGACAAAAAGCGGAGCGAAATTGAAATGTACACAATACATTATACAAAAAATTATTCAAGTTTAATACCTAGCAGTATTGCGTTATTATTCACACTTCCTCAATTTCAATGCAGTTTGACGTCTGCCCACACAAGAAGGAACAAAAGAGTTTTTGGATTTGACAATTACAGATATTTTACGCCTGACTGAACAATTTAATTCAATTTTTCCTCCTTACAAATCTGATACAGACAACAAAAGAGGAGGAAGCAAAGTCCATGCTGAAAGTAATATGATGACGTTCACTCATAGATTTTTATGTGGAATATGTTGTTTACACGCACAAAAGGTGTGGTATATCAACTAAAACGTCATGGGTAACCAAGGCAATTCCCCAATAAATAGGACCACCAGAATTTAAAGGTGACATGTACTGTATATCCTAAGATGTCATCTGTTTGGAGCTAAAGGAACACTAACTCCATGATAAAGAATTGAAGTTAAAGCGCTTCTGGCTCAAAACAGATGATGTGTTGCTTTTCAAATACAATACTATCGCATGCCTATACTTGCATGCCCCTCCCTTTTCAAGAAGCACTACTACTGATAAGTATGGAATTGAAATATGCATAATGAAATTTCAATCTGTACATTGCCCAAAATCTTCAACTTTACAAGCGGCCTTACTATCTAGTGTCAGCACCATGATATGAAAATAAATACATTCCAATTGCATCCTTGGCCTTTTAGGTCACCAGTGACGTCTTTACTTCATTCTATAATCACAAAGTATTGGCATTCCTTCTTGAAAAGTTTCAGGACTCTGGACTGTGGCTTTGTTTATCTAAACATAGATGGCTATCATACAAGTACAAACTCATAATTTGGAAGAGTGCTTTTGCATTCTGGGAGTCAAGAGCAACTTGTACTGAAAATTAAGGATAAGCTAATTTTGAAAATCAACAGATTCAAGATGAAGACTCATCAATTCCTACTTTCAATGTTTCCTGATCTACCAGAATTCACTTGCAGGTATGCAACCAACAAATATTTGTGGGCACTAACAGTTATACCCCCTGTCCACACACAACATTTTCCATGATTAGCTATTCCGTTTTGCGATAGTGATACCGTTTCGCGATAGTTTTATGATGAAAATTGTGTGTGTGGACGCTCACTAACGATTCGTCGTATAACGAAACTAGTCTAATGAAACGCAGGTTTGGGCATCGTTTTGAACTGAAACTCGATAAAGAATCACGCCTAATCACGGAAAATGTTGTGTGTGGACAGGGGGAGTGTAACTAGTGTAACTAACTGGGAGGGGCTTAACATGACCTCGAGCGAAAGGAGACCAGACCTCTCATTTTCGCTTCCATTTCATGACCGCAGTAGCAAACTGCACACCTACAGTGTATACGACATTTCGCTGTAGATTTTTCAGGATTACTTTCTTCTTTGTGTGGACATTCTGGAATTTATACGATGATTATTTATACGACGTTTCTTGTGTGTGGACACTCTGAAATTTATACGATGATTCTTTTTACGACGTTTCGTTATAGAGTTTCGGGATAAATTGTTTTGTGTGTGGACACGCTAATCGTCAGATAGTTGTCAGGTCTAAACAAAACAATTTAAATTTAACTGTAGACACTGATGAAAACAAAAAACCAATACCGGTACATAATTCAAGATACCATTGTACACAAAGTTGGGTTATTGTCAACTTTTCAATGTCACAAAAGCCAATACAAGGATATGTGACACCCCCTCCCCTACATCCGGCTCATTACTGCAAGCTTAACAAATAAATAAATAGTTAAAATAAAAGCATTTTTTAAAGAGAATCCAATCGAAGAAAAAAAAAGGTTTAATCTCAAACATGAAGGCCAGTCAGTAATCACTTTAATCTTGTTTAATAGCATGCCATTTTTGTCAATTCAGGAAATACCATCAGTAAATAAAATAATGTAGGTGCAGTCCCTCAACTTCATGACCAAGTTTTATTGGATGCTTGTTGACATTCACCATTTCAGATCAGTATAGTCCTTTACATGCATACTATACATGTACTTGTACTTGCTATAAAAGAGGATCATTAAATAAGGACATGTCAGAATTCTTGTTTATACTGCAAGTACCTGACTGAGAGTCACATGACTGTGTAACATGATTAAGATAGAATTTCATTAAATCTCCAGGGGGGGGGGGGGGGTCCCGAATGAATTTATGATTGTATACAAGACACAGGGTGGGTATAATTGAATGCTTAATTTCTAAGACAGCCTGGGAGAAGAAAATAACACAACCTATCCCTATAAATGAATATCAAGACGGAAAGAGAAATATCAAGTTATAAGGACATGAGTGCAGCCTTGTATTTAAATTATATTTTTGACATAACATGGGACCTAAATATCTTGAGTTCTTCAAAATGTATTTTGGAACATTACCATATCTGTGGGACTTGAATATATTTAAATTCATTTTTAGCTGTTCCCATGTTTGAAATTCTATCACGACTTTATGGAAATATAATATTGATTAGGAGGCATATGTGTGAGGTATTGATGCATGGGATCGATGATACAAATTGAGGTCAAAGGGTTGTACTTTTCACAAACACTCATCAGTTGCCAAACAACCCTTCTCATAATGATAGCTTGCTTCGGCAGCCTCACGATTCAGGCCCATCACAGCTCTGTATGTCAATATTAGAGATTGGGCTGGCCAGACAAATATGTGAAGAGCTTGCATGGTAATAAATGCCAGCATCACTTTGCAGGGATCACATCTGAAATGGCACAATGTTTCAACACTAAAGAAGGGTATTTTAAGGAACCCCAAATATTTAAACTTCCTGATATGTGTACCCCTTCATTTTATGTTCACTTTACAGAAGGACGGCTGGTTTCCAAGATACATATAAAAATGCTTGGTTATTTTCAGGTTAAGAACATCCAAAATTGCTGCCATTGGAGGCATCAAATTTCAGATGTCAGATTTTGCTATGAGTTTTGAAAAAAAGTCTGAAATACCACTGGAAATATATTTTTCTGAAACTGATTATCTTACTATGCTGAAAACATGTACTGAACACAGAGATAATATTCCTAGCATATGTGTGTTCAACATTTCTGGCTAATAATGAATTCCGACTACAGTGTATTTCCTTCTTCTTGGAAGGAATGCTCGTGACCCTTAATAACATTAGCATGAGATCATGTCTGGCTTGACAGCACAGAATATGCACCTGTCCATGTTAGCTACATGTAGGCGTACATATGCTCTGTATATGAAAAGGCAAGTCTGAGATACATACATAAATTTGAATATATTCATCCATCAAACACCACATGCCATCATTCAACAACCATACTTCCATTACATCTCAGAGAAATAAAGCTACAAGTTTAATTCAGTGCCCACCATAACAACCACAGCATGCATTGGACACACTGCGGGCAGACGAACGCATCCCTGCCATTACATCAATCCTTTTCAAGTGAACTGAAGCAACACAGCTTGGCATCGAATAACAAGAATTAATCAATAATGTACAATGTATTTAATCTCTAATGCGAGTTCAACATGGTGGACTTACTGAATTTTCTCTTCGGTGTAGGCTTCCCTCCATCGGGCAAATCCACTATATAACGAAACATGCTAATTCCCGTTAGAGAGGTAACACTGACATGCAGTGATCGTTAAAAGGCTCCTCGTTGGGTCGTGTTTAGGAGGAGGAATGAGAGATCAGACAGAGATAGAGAGAGGGAGAGAGATGAGCGCTGGTGCGTGCAGGCTACAAGAATTCATTCTCTCTATCTCTCTCTCTCATGCTTGGAGGGTAAACACGTACCGTGGCTGACGTGTGTGAGGGTTGTAACTTGTGTGTGTGTGTGTGTGTGTGTGTGTGTATGTGAGTGACGGAGGGACACACAAGGTGATATTTATTAGGCCACGCACTTGAGAAAGAGAGCACTGCATGGATGATGTAAAGAGGTGTTCGAGGGAGATATGAAATTAAAATGGAAGGACATCATGGAGCAATGAATTCCTGTCATGTGTTTATATATTTCAAAGCATAAGTAATATAGTACTAGTATAAAAAATGAAATAAATAATTTTGAAAATATATTGAAGATCTTCAAAACTAAAACTTAATACAAATACAAAACCTTTGATGATAAAAAACGTAAAGAAAAAAAAAAGAAAAGAAAAAAAAACATTTTAAGGTTATAATTTATTTTTCATGATACTTTGTAAACAACAAAAATCAAATTCACTAAGGTTCAGCTATTTTTGTAATGCTTTTATTACAGAATACTTGCTTCACGTGTATATCATATTTGATTTTAAAATTAGATGGAATTAGCCATTTTATGTCACAATGGTATCAAATGGACCAATAAAAAATGAATCTGAATCTGAATCTGAAATATTCATGACCTTATTAACTACAATTTTGTAGATTAAAACAGTAGAGTATATTAGTAATTTAAGAACATAATATTGATGTAATATTTTGATAATCTTTCACTTGGTCCATTGAAAAGGGAATTCCCAAGCCTTCTAATTAACTCAAGTATTCATGAAGGAAGGAAGTTTTTACAGTTAAAAGATAGCTTCTCAGCTTTCCACTTTGCCATCCTTGAAATTGTAATTGAAATTGTAATTGAAAAGGAGATGATGAATACAAATCCTTTCTATTGTTTATGCACATGTGTATATAGGTCTAGTGTCTTTTGTTAGCACTTGAGAAGAAGTGCTCACCACAAAAAGTCAATAGGAAACAAAGAAAAAAAAATCAACAATTTTGCCCACTAATTTGTAGCAAAAGAAGAAGTAGACCCTGATAATTGTCACCTTATAAAACAGTAGCAAAAGCTGATGTTGATGCAAGACAATTTTGCACCCATTGTAAAAAAAATAGTCAATTTGAGTGTTCTTTTTATGAAATCCAACAATTAATACTGGAGGTGGGAGGAAACAATCCCAGTAAAAGAATTATAGAAAGTAAAATAATTTACAAAAGACAGTGAGACAGAAAAAGAAGCAAGAACAGGGTTAAAATAAAAATAAAGATGTATATATGTTTATTTTCAGGTCGTGACGCAAGTGAGCCACGGATAAGACCCATAGGGATGCTTACATGTACATGTATGTGATGAAAACTGAAGTGACTCTTCAAGGTTGTCTGAAATGAATATCTCCACAGACATGAATTATTACCACTTCGTAATTTCTGCAGCTCTTTCGCTTTTCCTCTGTCATGGCCAATGTGAAATTGTATACAATAAATAAGGACAGTTCCATTTCGTTTTCGTTTTCCTTCATTGTTTGAAAAATTCACATAAATGAAATCAAAATACATGTAGGATAATGTCCATGTATCTCCAAGTATCCATGTACATGTATAGGTACATTTATGTGTTCATTATGCCCATGGGCATTGTACATGGGTTCTAGGTGTATGGATTCAACCAGAGCATTATCTCTTGGACCCTCCCCCCCCCCCCCCCTCTCCCCTATCACCATCCAATTCATCATTGACTGTGAATAGTGTTTTCTTTCAACAAAATGTGTTTGATACCCTCACCCCCTGCATCCTTCCCACTCATTACTTGACAGTCTCACTTCACACACAGAGTGTTTACAATCTGTCACAGACGAGTTCAGATAAATATCCCCTGTCAAAATTACAGAGAGGGCAGCATTCACTAAACTGAACCCTACATGTACATACGCTGAATGGAACTTGTAGATATCCATTTAGAAGTTGCTGTTTTAATCATGGGCAAAACTTCACAGTGGCTGTCTATTAAAGGTATAGATCAGTTTTGGAAAAGCCCCCCTCTCAAAAAATGAAATGGAAGCTCTTATTACCAATCATGTGAAAGAATATGTTTTGACTAATACGTGATGATACAAATTTTGCCGGGAAACCGCCTACTAATTGATATATTTGGTAAACTATTATATCTATCCAGCCTGGATAGATATCGTGTAGTCACATCTTTCTGTGTACAGTGCTTGTAACTTTACCAAGACTGGGCCAAATTTCTCATCATTTTGATGATTCCAGAACCTTGCAGTACACACCAATACTTATATGCTAGACTTATATGCCAACCTTTTCTGATCGATTCAACATGTATCTTTCACAATGCAATCGCATGACCAGAACTGGTCTATACCTTTAATCTTTTCTGTGCTGTGAGACCTTCAGATAATCACACTTTGACATTCACATGATCTGTTATTCAATTCAAAGATATTATATAGGACACAGGTCAGTGTGCAAAAATGTGTACTCTAAATATTATATCTACAGTACTTTATCATCTGGTCAAAGTTCAGTCATAAAAATAACATGTAAATACGGCACGATCAGTTCAGATCTCTTTGATAAATTGATATGTACATGTAGATGACCTAGATGAATGAGTGTTGTAATGAAGCGTTTAACTGACCAAATCCGTCTGGTTTTTACCAAGGTTGAGGTTGAACGGAAATAAAAATAACTCTGATAAAAAAAGAATTACTGATGATAGGGATCTGTGGATCCTGTTCAAGGCTTGCCCAGCATGTGAGGATGACTGAACAAAATCATTTTCCTATGGACAGGTACACCATGAACAAAAAGTTTTTGGGTGCACAATAGCCCCCCCCCCCCCCCCCCCCCAATTATGTACATGACTTGTAAACCTATCCAGGTAAAGAAAGTTGGAGATTTCCATACAACAATTCTAACATTATTAACAATTTGTTTTCAACAACAAAATTCCAGTTGTATTTTCAACCTTTCTAGCTTTAGAGATATCACTTTCTGGTGTTATGTAGTTCTTCTAAAAAGCAGGAAATATTGAATGTGTAAGATTTTCTCCCTTTTTTAAACTATCAAAGTAATAAAAGAAATATTATTTTAATTTCAAACTTCAATCAATTTCCCTAGTCCTAATATGACTTGTGATAATAGATCAGAAGTGCTATATCATTGATAATGATATTGCACAAATTTATATTTACTATATTTTACAGTGTATATGACACACCAAGTTTGATACAAAAACTAGACCTCAAAACCTATATTTGTGAAGAACAAAGTTCAACCCATAAAATCCAAAAGTTCTTTGGGCAAGCATAGAGTGAGGGTGTATATAACTTCATTTAAAAATAGAAGTCATGCTACTTCCTGATATATTCTGAAATTGTTTTGTGTTTTTGAATGTTCATGACCACCTATCTTTGGCACTTACTGGTATATTGATGAGTTATCCTCATTGAAGTATATTTTAGAAGTATTTCAAGTCATGTGAATGCAACTCACTTATGCACAAGTTTGTTTCAGTTTCTTATCAAAATCCTTTCAATGATTTCCAACATACTTCATAGCTCATACTTACAAAACTGAACTTAATTTCCTGATTATCATACCAACATGTTAATGCAATTACCTCAAAGTTGGTTGAAGAGGGTATACAGTATGTACATACAGTACATGTATGTGGATTGTGGTAATTCAAAAATAATGAAGATTTTACAGGGAACAAAAAAAAATCCAAGAGCAAGAATCCTTTATAGTCTTGAGAGAGTAGACCCAGATTCACCTCCACGAACACATTGTTTCTTGACCCCAAGAAGGATGCTAACTACTAACTAGGTAATGTATCCCATTTGCAGCCAACATCAAATTATGTTGAACTTTGCAGGAATTATGAATATGTCATGTATGTCCTATCTGTAAAATTTAGCATTAGCAGTGTCCTAGTATTGAAATTATGCAAGGAAATCTGTTAACCTTCAGGACTACACTGTCGGACACTATCGAGTGACTGACTAACATTTTTTTTTGGGTGGTAATAACATACATGAAATTATCTGTAACAGGTACATGAGCATTTGTCTACATCTATAACCCATGACTAATAATTGAATCTTTGTGCAGCACATAACGTACGACCATTTGGTAAAAGGGTCTGAAAATCAGACTATTATTTAGGTGATTGCAATCACTTAAGGCGATTCGACAACTAATGGTCGTTATTTTCCCACAAAAAAAATATCTTCAAGCCCTTTTGTTTTGAGGGAAGTTCCAAATTAGTATAATCTTTCAAATGCCGTTGGAATTTAGCCTTTTCATTTGTTTGGCCTGCAAATGGGACATAGAGTTTTAGCTTCTGGCTCTATGAAGATGATGGTGATTGAGTGAATCAGAAAATCTGAGGAACAGACTGGTGGGTGGCAGAAACTTAGAGGAGAAAAATGATATCATGTAGATCAAGATATATTCTACAAACTACATTGTAGCGGTCACACAGCAAATAAAATGGCAATCTCGATGTTACTTTAAGATCATCTGAATATCAGCTGAATGAGCTGATACGGGTATAGTTCAATCCAGAGTCTATAACTCGATCTCACACTTTCTTCTCTTTGTAATCATATGGTAGACCCAATCTTGAATTGGTTCCTTGCAGCAGTCAAATTCTCTGAATCTTGGTTAATACACACAAGGGGAAATAACGATGTGTATAATTGAAATTGTGGACAAATGTGATGTGATGAAGGCATGTATTCATAGCATGATCACATTTAAAAATAAAAAAGAATATAATATGAGTTCATGTATGACTAACCTGATGATGGCATCTGCTGTGAATTACCCATGCTCATTCTCAAAACAAATATTTATAGTAAACAAAACAGGTAGCAGGTTTGTTATTAAGCAATCAGTGGCACTCAGAGCAGTCAGTTTCAAACTTCCCAGACTTGATGACTTCCTAATTACTAGCTCTACTGGGGCTATGTCATGCACTACCCAAGCTTCTAGAAATAGCTGCTTTCTAGTCCTATCCAACTCCAGAACACTTCCTTAATATACATGTAATATGATATATGGATAGATGACAATGCAATAATGCAGTACAATGTTCACTTCAATGAGCTTCCAGCAGTAGCACACATCCACATTGATTATCCTGCTACCAGCCCAGGGCTTATTCAATACAAGCAGATTACACATGCAAGGTGGTTCACGCCTGTAGTGAATGTCAACTTATAGAATGACTTAACCTTAACAGTAGAGGGCGACATGCCAGATATACTTGTCATACCAATGACCACTTTAATAAGTGGTCATACATTAATAATGTTTAAGAATGGGAAGGAATTCCAAGTTACATTTCTTTGTTTATTGGAGTTACAGTGTAAATAGCCAACTGGGTAATACAAAAGGGAGAGAGAGTACTCTAGGAGATAAGAGAAATGCTGCTTTTAATTGAATAGCTAAGCCTTGTGTGTGACAAGAAAGGCTAAACATAGGTCTATGGGCAATGGTGGCTTATTAAAAGAAGAAGAAAAAGAAGAAGATGAAGAAGAGGAGAGGAGGAGGAGGAGGAGGAGGAGGAGGAGGAGGAGGGGGAGGAGGAGGAGGAGAGGAGAGGAGAGGAGAGGAGAGGAGAGGAGAGGAGGAAGAGGGGGAGGGGGAGGGGGAGGGGGAGGGGGAGGAGGAGGGGAGGAGGAGGGGAGGAGGAGGAGGGGAGGGGAGGGGAGAGGGGAGGAGGAGAGGAGGAGAGGAGAGGAGGAGGAGGAGGGGGAGGAGGAGGGGTAGGAGGAGGGGTAGGAGGAGGAGGAGGGGGAGGGGGAGGAGGAGGAAAGGAGGAGAGGAAAGGAGAGGAGGAGAGGAGAGGAGAGGAGAGGAGAGGAGAGGAGAGGAGAGGAGGGGAGAGGAGAGGAGTGGAGAGGAGGGGGAGGAGGGGGAGGAGGAGGGGAGGAGGAGGAAAGGGAGGGGGAGTAGGAGGGGTAGGAGGAGGGGGAGGAGGGGGAGGAGGAGGGGGAGGAGGAGAGGGAGGGGAGGGGGAGGGGGAAGGGGAGGAGGAGGGGAGGGGGAGGAGGAGGGGAGAGGAGAGGAGAGGAGAGGAGAGGAGAGGAGAGGAGGAGATTGACTATTGCTCACCTATAACTGACCTGTTTCTCTCATATTTCTGGAAAAGGGAAAAAAATACAGGCGGCGGGCATGTTTGCCCCAGAAATGTCAATAAGAATCCCCAAAATAGGCCAAAATATGATAGGTCAAAAACGATTGCCCTAAAATTACTAGCAGCCGCTCTCTCCTAAAATGAGTATGTAAATGATGGGTAAATATGAAGCAGGAAGCCCAAAACCTTAATCAAAGATAAATAAGCCAGTAAAGCTATGGTCACAAATCAGAGCAGCGACCGCCCGATCAGTAGCCTGCTCGGTCGCTGCTGCAATTAGGCATCGCCCAGCGATTAGGTCGGTGTCCGGGCGGCGACCGCCCAGGCACCGAGTGAAAAGTGAGCAGGCGCCGCCCAAATTTTAACTCCGCGCTAAAACTTCAGCGGCGACCGAGCGATGCCCTAGAAACGAGCGGTGCCTGGGCGGCCGCCGCTCGGTGGCCGGGCAGCCCCCGGGCAGAATTGGTTAAAAAGTAAAAACTCGCCGCTCGGCCGCCGAGCAGTCTACTTTTGGGTAATGTGACCATAGCATAACTAAGCCTACTAAATAAACTGTTATGAATAATTGAAAAAAGGTGCCCCCGAAATGGAAAAAAGTAGCCCCCAAAATGAAAAAAAAGAGCCCCGAAAGTTGAAAAAGTAGCCCCAAAAAATTTTCCAAAATTGGATACCAGAAATAATAATTTTTTTCACTGGGTTGTGGATGCGTAGCCAGTCATGTTGGGAGTGACTCCCCACCCCTCCCTCCCGAGCCCCCCTTCCTCCCGAGCCCCCCTTCCCATTTTTTCACTCGCCTAGCCAGACCTGGGGTCGCTTGCGCTTGCGAATTGCTCCTACGATCCTTGGATCATCAACCACTCCACATCAACAAACAGTCACAAACAGTCAGCCTGCCACCACAGACCCAATCGACCCCATCAATCACCGGAGGAGTCTCGGGCACCTTGACGGCACACAACCGACCAGCAAACTACTCACGATCGCGATTACGCTGAAGAAGCAAACGATGACCTGTGCTCGATGAAGTTGAAAATGATTCCAATTTTTTACCCACCGATGGAGAAATCGTCCGTCGAGCCGTCTGTACTTTGCATGCCTTCGACAACAAGGCATGACGTGAGAATTGCAATCCAAATCGAGATGCCATCTCGGATGATAATTCCTTTCATAAGCATTGCGACTATGGCAAGAAGATCAAGACTAGACGACGTCACACGTGTAAAAAAACCAGTGCTAGATGAAAACAAATGGTGACACTGCCGATATTACTTATGCAAATATAAAGAGTGTGTGCGTAGCAGGGCTTGAATTAATCCAAGGCCACCAAGGCCATGGCATGTGGCCGTGGATGCCCCTTTATTTGGCCTCAATGCCCCTCTCATTGGCCTTGGAGATTTTTTGTGCCCTTTCCAATTCTTCCTATTTGTGCTGTAATATAGGAACGTGCCCTACAGAAAAATGGCCTTGCCCTAAAAATACTGAAATTTAAGGCCTGCCACAGTAATAAAAACAAACTTAGATTATTGATAACATATACTCAAAATTACAACAACAACAACAACAATTTTTCTTCACTTCTTTTTTTTCTATTTCTTCTTAATTCTTCTTCTTCTTCTTCTTCTTAATTCTTCTTCCTCTTCTTCCGATTTCTCTTCTTAATTCCCCTTCTTCCTCTTCTTGGCTAATTCTTCTTCATCCGTCTGATGATCTTCTTCTTTTCTTCTTTTTCTTCTTCTTCTCTCGCGATCTTCTTCTTCTCACGGTCTTCTTCTTCTTCTTCTTCTCACGGTCTTCTTCTTCTTCTTCTTCTCACGGTCTTCTTCTTCTAATTCTTCCTAGCTCTATAGCTTCTTCTTCTTCGATCTTCTTCTTCTTCTTCTTCTTAATTCTTCTTCTTTTCTTCCGTCTTCTTCTTCTCCTACTTCTACTTCTTTTTCTTCTTCTTCTTCTTCTTCTTCTTCTTCTTCTTCTTCTTCTTCTTCCTCTTCCTCTTCTTCCTCTTCCTCTTCCTCTTCGTCTTCTTCTTCTGCTTCTTCTTCTTCTTCTTCTTCTTCTTCTTCTTCCTCTTCCTCTTCTTCCTCTTCCTTTTCCTCTTCGTCTTCTTCTTCTGCTTCTTCTTCTTCTTCTTCTTCTTCTTCTTCTTCCTCTTCCTCTTCCTCTAAATTCCTCTTCCTCTTCTTCTTCTTCTTCTTCTTCTTCTTCTTCTTCTTCTTCTTTTTCTTACTCTTCTTCTTCTTCTTCCTCTTCTTCTTCCTCTTCCTCTTCCTCTTCCTCTTCTTCCTCTTCCTCTTCTTCTTCTTCTTCTTCTTCTTCTTCTTCTTCTTCTTCCTCTTCCTCTTCCTCTTCCTCTAGCTTCCTCTTCTTCTTCTTCTTCTTCTTCTTCTTCTTCTTCTTCTTCTTCTTCTTCTTCTTCTTCTTCTTCTTCTTCTTCTTCTTCTTCTTCTTCTTCTTCTTCTTCTTCTTCTTCTTCTTCTTCTTCTTCTTCTTCTTCTTCTTCTTCTTCTTCTTCTTCTTCTTCTTCTTCTTCTTTTTCTTACTCTTCTTTTTCTTCTTCCTCGTCACTTCTAATTCTTCTTCAGGCATCTTCCAACCTTTTGAATTGAATTTTGTACAATGTATATGCCCAGTTAATCAATTAACCTTGGACTATTTTAGCATGTTTTAGCATTTTATCAAGATTGATTTGCGATCTTAGCAGATTGTCTTATTGTGCACACGTGCTCAGGCAATCTAAGAAGGTGGCAAAAACTCCTGTCGGAAAAACAATTCATTTCTGTAATAGGTAACATCATTTTTTCATTTTCTTTAGAAATGTAGTTGTTCTAAAGCTATAAGAAATATGTATTTAGTATTTAGAGCCGCCCATCAGCGCAGTTATCGAAAAGAGAGAATTTAATGAGAGACAACGATATTTTGAGTGTGGTCCCAGATATTCTTATTTGTGTAGTAACGTATTGTACTGAGCTGTGTGTGATGAAATTGACGGTCAATCACTGGAATGGTCAAATGTATAGCAGCATTACTTATTATACTTTGTGTGTAATTACAAATTTTAAGAATTCACAAAATCGGCACTTTAGTGACAATTGATGAGACCCTAAATTATAGCTGTAGAAACTAGAATAGATCTAGGTCTAGAGTAAAGGAGCCCGTAATCATGGTAATCGGCCAGCTCCTGTTTTCGGCCGATTGGTTGGATGCAAGGTAAAATCACTCTAAAATACATCGCATAATAGCATAACACATATCCCACACATACCATACCATGCCAGTGTCACTGAAGAACCACATTTGCAATGGAAAATATATCCTAAAATATCACATTTTAGCAATGTAATCGCCGGTCCCGCTACCCAAATCTGAAAAATCGAGTATCTTACGCGTGTCTGTAAGAAATATTGGTACCATAAAATGAGCTTTATTTCAAGTATTTTTCAGATTTAAAGCCCGATTTTGTGCTGGTCGCAAGCTCAAAAGTATCTCATCGCATGTATTAAATCAATGCAGCCGCACACCGCGACGCACACACGATATCTCTGTCTAATTCAGATTCCAACTTCCGATCACCGCTGTGCCCGTGTTCGGCCAGGCGAGCACCAGGGAGCTCCGGCGTGGGATACCTGCTCCGCCCGCTTGTGCTGTACATCAGCGCGGAAACGCACGGCGCGCGCGAGCGCTTCCTATTGACTTTGTACATGCGGCCGTAAACTGAAACGCTCGGCCGATAACGGGCTCCAAAACAGTGAAAATTGAAATGAATATTGTCATGGCAATTCGTGATTTTTTTCTGGGATTCTTTTTTTGTTTAAATAATAATAATATTTGCTTCATGATTTGAACAAGAAATGATAATAAATAGGAAGTAAAGAGTCCTAAAAATAGGATTTTGTCTTAAGTGGCCGAAAACGGGCTCCTTTACTCTACAATCAATTCAATGAATTAAAAACTGCGACGCGACGCGACGATGAGTTGATGATGTAGGACAAAAAATTTACACCAGAAATATGTTGTCGATCGGGACGAAATGAAATGTCGCTTTGTATTCAGTAATTTTGTTGATCACATGACCGAGTGGGTCGAATTGATCTTGTATTAGGCTCTAGAAGTCTACTTATATTTTGCTGTTTTCAATTGCTGATTTTTAGTGAATTCTTGTGAGTTTTTTTATAAAAACAAATAGATCTTGATCTATGTCCCTCACCATAGTCTACTCGATCGCGATCTTAGCACTTGTGTATCTCTGCAACCACCAGAAGTTGCCTTCCTTGTTATGGCATCAGCATTGGGTCTTTCACTGGACCCTGCTTTAGCACTGGTACTACGACTCCTGCAGTGGCATTAGCACTGGGTCACTCACCTTCTCTTATTCTCTCAAAAACAAATGAAACAAGAAAACTTTTCCAAAACATCGATAATGCATAAACTTCTCTTCCATTTTAACTGTTTATTCTCATATTAGAGATTCTTGTCAAGCTCCTAACATTTTTTGATCTGCAGTTTTATCACCTCTGACTAACCCTGATGATGATCGGATCGGAAGATTGGAGCGACACCCTCGCACCTGTGATCAGTATCTTCCAAAAAAAATTAAAGCCAAAAATTTTTGAGTCTTGGGCTATCAAATGCTACAAAATTAGGTCTTATTACCTCTGTGACTATTTGTTCTTTTCTTTCATCATGAGGTAGTTTGTGAGAGGATTTTACAATGGCGGGAGAGGAGGTTTCATCCCAGGTCAAATTCAATGCCCTTCTAACACAATGGGATCAGGATCATGGCTCTGGATCATCACCAATCCCAAGACTCAAAAAGTAAATATTCTCTTTTCTTTTATTCATTCAAATGCTAAAAGTGCTTTAAAGTAGTAGTAATACTATTTTCTTTTCTTGGTAATTTAAGTAATGTTAATTCCATTAGTAATATTGACTTTTCTTGAAGTAATCTTGATTTGTATACAACAGCGCTTTTATGTCACAAGCGCTATATACATTTTTCTTCTTCTTATTATTTATAAAATGTTCTGTAGATATTACAGAATTCTGCAAGTGTTAAACATTTAAATACCAATCATGGTGGAAGAATATTTTCCAGGATGAATACAACTGGTGGTAAAATTAAACATCTTGAATACAGGTTTGAAAATAAGACATCATTTCAATTACATCATTTAGATACTGTGAGGGGATTTTTCTTTCATAGTTCTTTTAAAGGGAAAGTCCACCCTGAAATTAAGTTAGTTTTAATAGGAGTAGAAAAATGAGAGAAACAAGTCAGTGAAAGTTTGAGCAAATTCCGATTAAAAATAAGGAAGTTAGGATTTTTTGAAAATTGTTGAAGTTGTGGTCAATCAAACACAAATTGGCAACTCTATGACGTATCATGCGAGCTCAACTTCCATTTGCTCAGTACTAAAAAAATCTAAAATTTTCATTTTCCCTCAAGAAAAATTTCAACCATACATGCACCCTAAATATAATAATTGCAAATATGTTTCTATACTCCCCCTGCAAGGAACAAATATATATTCCGTCATCAATAACGAAGAAAACATGATTTTATGGAATATTATGCACAAAGCAAATGAAGGAGAGCTCGTATAATAAGTCACAGAGTTGCCAATTTGTATTTGATTGATCACAACTATAATAATTCATAACTTTCTTATTTTCATTCAGAATTTGCTCAAACTTTCACTCACCTGATTTTCTTATTATTCTGCCTCTATCGAAACAAACTTTTTTTTGGGGTGGACTTTCCCTTTAAGAGCAGTATGACTAGGACAGATAATTTACATCAGAATACCAAGTATCAAACAACTTAACCAAACTTTGATAGCTCTATTGACACTTTTGCCTGATACAACATGACAATTCTATTGATGTTTTGATTAATTATCTACATCAAGATTCACTTACAGTTTATCTCTGTGTATAAGACGCACCTGTGTATAAGACGGACCCCTATTTTTTTGGCGGACTCTGTCGGCAGCAAGCCAGGTCCGTGTTCAAAATCCCACCCGGGGAAGGACTTTCATTTAGGTGAAGTTGAAGGCGCCGATTTATGCTTGCGAACTTGTCACAAATAATAGTAACAATGTCGTTTTTAAAACTAATGATGACAGACAGGTTTTCCTCTAGGTCCAAACAGAAACTTTGTACCTGTGTAAGACACACCCCTGACTTACGATTTTTTTTTTTTCGGCAGGAAAAAAGTGTGTCTTACACACAGAGATTACGGTAAACTTATTTGGTAGTACTCTTTGTAATTGTATGCATTATATATTGACAGAATGGCAGAAATAATGGAGATGGAGGTAGAAAATTTCTTGAAGCTGGATGCAGATCCGTTTGATGATCGTCATCCAGGTCGGGTTGACCCCACTTGTGCCTTAGGTGACCTCTTTACCTCCCTCTTCAAGAATGATAACTTCATGTCCAAAGTAAGTTTGAATATGAATGGCTTTATAGTCAGTATGGAATTGGGTTACTCACAATCGCCATACTGTATTATTTTGTATTCTTCTCTCCTGCATTGGAAAATCAGTTTTATAACAAAATATGAACAAAAGTAGGATGAAAATGTTAACCAAAGGGTTGAAATAATTACAGATATACGATTTCACAAATACTTGTAGCAAAAAAATAAAGGAATGTAAAATGACTTAGCAAGGAGAAATGTAGCAAAAAGATAAATTAAACCAAAAGTAATTGTAACAAATACAAGTATGGAGTGAGTCTAATTTCAACTTGTACACTTATGAGTATAGCAAAATAATAAAGGAATGTAAAATGATTTAGCAAGGAGAAAGGTAGCAAAAAGATAAATTGAAGTTGACAGTGAGGTGAGAAGGAAAAAAAAAGGGAGAACAATAGTTATTATTATTGTTATATTTACCATATTCACCTTCCTGTAATGTTTGTTCCTTATTGTTTTAGCTGGTGAACGATTACATTATGTCATCTCGTGACAAGGAGATCAATACTCTGGCATGTCGTCTACTTCTAGATGTGGTTCCAGGTCTGGAGACATCTATCATCTTTGAGGAAACGGTAAGAATTGTTTGTTTTACATTGCATCTATTTCAGTGATTGTGCATTAACTTGTTACATCAATAAACTGTTTACATTGATATATACATGTAATTCTGGAATCCTAATTCAACAAGAATTCTATTGTTTGTTGAGAAATAAGCTTTCATTATATTTAAGAGTTTTAACTGAAATTTACTGATAACGTTATAATTTGAACCATAATTTATGGTTCACTCTGTTTACAGTATTTTGCTCTGTTTAGTTTATAAATCATTCTTAAAATTGCAATAGGCTGGAGTAATGTTCATAGAGTAGGGAAAAGTATTGACTGAAATCTGAATAGTGCACTGTATTTCATTTTTTCACAAAAATGAAGTAAATGGGATGAGTATCTGTTACCGGGATAGGTGGAAAGTTTGTTCAGTTTTGGCATCCTGGGAAAAACATTGGAACGATTTTCTCAGGCTTTGTATGCATGGTTTTGATTATCTTTAAACATGAATTCATCATCACACCCCTTTCTCTATAATTCTCACTAGGATGGCTTTGTAAATCGCTTTGTTGATTGGGCCACTGAAGCCGAGGAGCCCCTCAAGTCCTATGCTACTGGCTTGCTAGCTGCTGCTGTAGAGGTCCAAGACATCGCTGGAAACCTCAAGGACATCAATGCCAGACTTGTAAGAATTCCTTTAAAAGACAATTTAGCTTTTCCTCTTGTACTGTTTGTTTTTCAATTATTCAGATGGTTATTGTGAAGTTCTATGACAAGTTGTTGTTGAGCTGCTAACATAGTAATTTTAAAAAAAAAAAAAAATTTTTTTTTTAGCATTCCTTACCCGAAAAGATGGTAGGTCCATGCTAGTCTGTGCAAATTATTAAATTTATTATTGTCTGAGTTTCCTTTCAAAAAGATTTCAAATCAGTTTTTAGACTTCCTTGTAAGATCTTAAAGTTTCTCTTTTATTGCATTTTTGCAGGTTCCAGTCATGCTTCAGCGATTGCGTGGTTTCAAGAATGCAGCGAGTGAAGCAGGAAGTTCCTCCACATCGCCGGTTTCTGAAGCTCCAGAGCGTCCCTTCGGTTGCTTCGACAAGCCCAACGAAGAACAGAAAATGGATGACAAGGATGTTCCCAATGCTGCTGCTCCTGAGAGCGAAGAGAATGGCAAACCACAAACCAGTGGATCCAGCCCAAAGGATACCTCTCTTAACGCGATGTCTTCAAGTGTTGAGAATGGTACTGGTTCGACAAATGAAGCAAGAAACTCAGTAAAAGATGACTCTGATATGGACAACACTTTGAGAGAGAGATTAGCAGGTCAGACTGAGGAGCTGACGGAAAATAATGTTGAAAGCTTGCAAGGAACACACGAAGGTGATGCCACGTCACAAGCTGACACATCCACCCCTGGTTCTACAAAGGACAGAACGTTGAGTGCCAAAAAAAGGAAAAGGTCAAATGGTGTGTCTGTCAAGAAGAGCTCTGTGTCAAAGGGCAAGAGTCGAAGGACAAAGGTCAGAGGTTTCGACCGAGAAAGATCAGCGCGTAAGCTGAGTGAGAACGAAGTGGAGCTTAGCAACAGTAGCTGGGCCGAAATGTCTCGGTACATCATTGGTTCCCAGTGTATGTTTCCCCTCAATCCCATCATGCAACAGAGGTTTATTCTGCAGTATTTGACACCACTTGGAGAATATCAGGAGGTAAGCCTTGAACCTCGAAAGTTTCAGTGAAATAATGCTTGTATTGGTGTTTGTAGCTCTCTATTAAATCTTAATGATTACTGTTATATTATGTATACTTTTATTCTGTTAACAAATAAGAAATATGCTTCATAAACTTAGAATTGGTCAAGTAACAGTATAAAGAAGAAATAAAAGTAGATCAAAGATTACACCTTTAATAGACTTTTGTCATATCTAAAAGTTAATCTAATAATATGGATAGTCAGTTTTGATGATTTTGTTCATTGTCGTAGATCTACAAACAAAGTAATAAGTATCATATGTAGCTTTAGCTAACATAGTTTGAATAATTGTTGTAAAATATTCAGCTTGTACCCGTATTTAATCATTGTTGTCTTTTCTTTACAGCTTCTTGGTGCCATGTTTGAGAATGGCTCTATGGAATTGGTGCTTCACTATATTGACCTCAACAAGACCAATGATGTCAGACTCACATTTGATGCTCTCAAGGTACAAATTAAACCATAATTTAAAGATGGTTAAATCATTTTTAATGTGAAAATAGGATGCTCTTAACATTCCTTACCCAGTGCTTTAATTTTCAAAGGAGAGTAGGAACTTAGAGATAGAAGTGATCTAAATGATCTGAAAATTATCAGTTGGACATTAGCACTTGTTAAGCATTGTTATCTCAAGATTGACTTGTTATTTGTATGCCTCCGCAACAAAGTAGCCCGAGGAATTATTTTCAATCTCTTTTTAGGAACACTTCATAAGATACAATTCATACCTTGAGGTCTTGTCACTGTATTAATCACATACTTCTTGTTCAACCCAATTTTGGGGGTATAAGCTTTAAATCTCTAAAGACGCAGGGATCTTTTTGCCCTTATGCCATTTGTATATAGTAACAAAGTTAAAGAAGCACTTTTTACCTTGAAATATTCTGTTACTCATATCTGAATATTGCCATGACTTTGAATCCAAACAAAAAATTTACTTGGTGTAACCCACAAATATGTTTAAATTATATTAAAAAAACAAAAATTGTTTCTATATGTCTGTGACCTTTCATTTGTTTTTTTGCTTCCCCCTGCCATAGTACCTATCCTCCCTGCTGTGTCACAAGAAGTTTGCCATGGAGTTCCTAGAGCTGAACGGTCTTCAGAAGCTCCTGGAGATACCCCGCCCATCGGTAGCAGCCACAGGGGTGTCTCTCTGTCTCTACTACCTGGCTTATAACGAGGATACCATGGAACGTATCTGTCTCCTGCCCAGTCCCGTGTTGTTACAGATGATGAAGTAAGCCCCTTGTATTTCTGAATTGCGGGTTTAAGTCCAGAAAGTGCAGCCTGTTGATGTAAATTATACAAACCTTTATACTTGAGCAAAGAGAATTTAGAAATTTTGCAGTACACAAAGTAAAGCACAGATTATGATTTTTATGAATGCTGGATAAATAGACTCATTGTCTCTTTATTTCTCACAGATGTATCAAGAAATATTATCTCCAATTGTTGATCAGGCTTTGGCATTACTCACCAATTGTGACGAATAAGAACAGGCTACTGTATCTAGAACCTTACAATGTTTTTAGTTCTGAACAGGAATGCTCTTCATGAGACTTAAATGCACTCAAGTTTTACCTAGTAACTGAACGATTGAAAGCAGTCTGTGCAGATCAGTGCAACTGTTTCACTTCAATAAAATCTATGCCAAATTCTGATACTTTTACATGAAATGCTGATTGTTGTACGACCCCTTGTCTCTGTTTCTACCCCAGTTACATGTTATGGTTGCTAGAGTGTTCTCACGAGTCAGGAAGATGCCACGCCACCATGTTTCTCATGACCAGTCTTGGCTTTGGGGCTGTGCTGGACCTCTTTGACAGGAAAGACGGCCTCCGCAAACTTTTCAATACAGTAAGTCTCATGACATCAGTGCCGGATGATTGCAATGATTTATTCTCACCCTTTTGAGTAGCATGTTTGTGTATGTTCCATTCCGTTGAAATTTTTTTGCAGTGACTTTTTACCAATGTCAAAGACAGATTCAATTTTTTTAAATTAAAGTTCGTCCAATGGTAATTCAATTCAATTCAATTCAGTTCTTTTTATTCATCCAAATTCACAAGAATACGTGGAAATTTCTTTTGGTCACACATTGTAAAAATATGTAATATATATATATATATATATATATATGAGAAACTATGTTGTTGTGTTTAAGATCATAGAAGAACATTCAAAATAAAAGATAGACAAAATAGAATGCAGGAAGTGGCATAAGGTAACTAGAAAATAAAATCTATTTCACACATGTTGATGTTTCAGATGAGTACACTAAGTATCCTGGACCCAGAGGGTCAGAATAGCGACCAGAGCAACAACGACGACGATGTCTTCTCCAGTCGTCAGACCATCAAACACACCACTCTGGCCCTCAAGAGGTACTTTGAGACCCACCTAGCCATCAAGGTGGACAGTATCAAGAGATCCTATGCCAGGAACCAGGGCCAGACCCCTCCGGAACCAATACCTCCATACAAGGTGAGATACTTAGAGCCCCACTGCACTACTTATAGCTACGTGCACCCTCTATATAGCAAACAATGCCTAATTGGTGCCTGTTGGTCCCCCATGATCCCCTTTTTCTTATTTTTTTTTTAATTGAGAGCTGATTTGATGAGATAACCATCTGTCAGTGACCTTGCAGGGAGGCCTAATCCCCCTGGCCAAGCTGGTACGGACGGGCTTAAAATGAGAGAGCTTGGGGTGTAGGAAATTAATTCTATAATAATTCATTCCTGTACGAAGACAATATTTCTGGTTTTAGTGTTCCAAGTAATAGAATATGAGAAATGAAAAGTGCATATTATTGGAGATATATGATTAGATGAAAGAAGTTGGATAGATATAGGGCAAAGGAAGGAAATATAGGATGAAGAAAAAAATTGTTTTGGAGATGACATAAGAAGGTGTACAAGACAAGGATACAAAATAGTGCAGTTGTGTTGAGGGCAAGAATGAAGGATTCTTTTTCTTTCTCCTTGTTTTAATACTTTTATTTTCATTTTTTACATTTAATAATACTGTTCTCTTCTCACTGTCAGCTAAAAAAGAAAGACAAAATATACACACAAATTCAAATTTTATTGATTTCAATCCAAACAGATGGGATCATTCTCAATACTGACTTCATTGGAGAATCCTGTGACATTGAATGTTTTTAACAGAAATTAGTGCCACATAAATTGCTGTAGGTCATCATTTTCATAATTTTATATATTTTGTTATTATTTCAGAACATCCCAGTGACCCCTGAGACTACTCAGGAGAACATGGAGACCATGTTGGAGCAGGCTCCACTTCGGCTCCATTGGACTCCAGCAGGAACCCTGATCAAGCTTCAAGGGATCCAGCCCCTCCTGCAGATCATCGCCCTGGCCACCGTATGGAAGAACTACAGTGCCAGGTATAAAGCTTGGTTCATTGTCTATCCTTGTTGGTTGACACATGTTCAGCAGTCAATTTCCTGTTCTAACTAAATTCCTAACTTCAATTATGGTCCAAATACCTAACACTAACCATAACCCCGGTCCCATGTCCAGTTGTAACCCTTACTTCATATATTTTGAATAATGAAATAAGGTGTGGATCAAATATTGCTGGAGCAAACGTTGGGTCACCATCCTGTCACATGCTCAATCATATTCATGGGAATTAAAATTGTAGTGTACATACCTGTAGATGTAAGTCTGATTTATTTGAGGTTCCACGGTATCTGGATATTTGAGTTCTGTATTCTATGTTCAATTCAATTCAATTCAATTCAATAATGGTTTTATTAAAAAACAATGCCTCGCAGCCAAAACGCTGAATTGTGCATGTTTACATATACATGAGCTCCATTACACAGAATCATATTTCATTTGTAACAATCATTCAAACAGCATTGGTAATACTTAGCATTACTCAAGTGTGTCGATTTCATAAACCACATTCACAAGCATGTATTTTGAGGATGATGTTGGTGGTTATATATGTTACCTTGTGTTCAGTATTCTTGTTACTTTAAGTCTGTTAAAACACCGTACATGAGATTCTCTTTGTCAACATTGCCATTATAATAAAATAATAATAATAATACAAAAGAATTATATAGCGCTTGTGACAACATTTTCAAAGCGCTGTACATGAATCAAGATAATAATCATAAGTTTTCATTCAATTTATTACAGGAGTGAGGTGGTAAAGGCAGCCTTGGATGTATTAGCTGTTGTGACTGTAACCAATAGAGGGCAGCTCCAGCTGTGTGAACAGGTTCACCTTCCAGACAATTCAGAAATCGTTGCAATGAAGTGAGTATTGAAAAACAGCTTCCCTTGTTTAGTAAGGGTGTCCAGTGAATTAGCAGACACCGTATAAATACGTCAGATGCTTTGTTACTCATGCTAAAATATGTGAGATTTCTTAAAAGCCCCATGCACTACTTATAGCTACTTGCGCCCTCTATATAGCAAACAATGCCTAATCGGTGACCATTGGTCCTCCATGGTCACATTTTCCTTATGTTAATTGAGAGCTGATTTAATGAGATAGCCACCTGTCAGTGACCATGGAGGAAGGTCTAATCCCTCCTGGCCAAACTAGTGCAGATAGGCTTATAAAATAGGAAAATATCACTTTTTTTGTTCTTTTTCTATTATTCTTTTACGCTATTCTTACCTGCTATTCTCGAGGATCCATGCTTCTTGGATGAAATTAAACACTAATGATTATAATTGAATTGACCTTGCCCTTTCAGTATTGTGAACGGAGTAGCTGAAGGTGAAGTTCTTTCTGATCCTGATGTACAGAAGGCAGCATTGCAGGTCATCAGTAACTGTGTTTGCGGACCATCAACTAGAGTAAGTTGGCTGTGCATCACTTTCATCATGCATGAAGCTGAGAATTTAGCGGTAGCTTGCCATTCAAAATACCAATTGTGTCCATGTATGTAGGCACTCCTAAAAATCAGCAACTATACACCTTTTGGTAGAAGCTACTTTCACTTTCCAGGATTTGACATTATGAGAGATAAAGATATCAATTTAAAAAGAGCTGTTACGAGCCGTATACATATTCATGCATGTTAATGTTAATTATGCGCATGAGCAGAGGATTGGCTTGTAAAAAGGTAATTTTTATTAAATCCTTCAACCGTATTTGTCACAGGTATTTCAGTATTTTCTTATGATTTAATATTGTTGCTACTGTTGTGTTGTGAAGTGCCGAAAGATATGATCACTGTCCTCTTTTTCTACAGCACTTATTGTGTACAACCTTCGTCTCCTCTCTGGCTTGAATTGGTGTTACCATTTTTTGCTTTTTTAAAAAATTCTATTGTGTTGTAGGTTAACTAACAGATTGAAAATAATAGATGTGTCACTTTCTTTTTAAAGCTTGGAGGCAGCATGGGTCGTTTTATGAGTAACAGTGCGAAGAAGAATCGGACATCGATCAGGAGTTCAACGGACATCATTGAGAAGATGTGGGAGACCGTCCGTACTAACAACGGTATCAAGGTAAGGTTCCAAGGTTTGTCAAGGAAAAGCAAAATGATAGTTAACATTCATTCAAATAAATGAAAATAGAGAAATGTTCTTAAGCTCTGGGGACTGATAATTTAGGGAATGGAAGAAGTGTGAATGATAAGTTCAGCAGATGTATGTGTATGTGTACGTGGAAATATGCCACTGAAAAAAAAATCCCCTTAAAGCCACACTGTCCTACTTGTAGCTACTTGCTCCCTCTATATAGAAAACAATGCCTTATCGGTGACCAGTGGTCCCCCATGATCCTCTTTTTCTTATGTTAATTGAGAGCTGAGTTGATGAGATAACCACATGTCCAGTGACCTTGCAGGGCGGTCTAATCCCTCCCATAAAGTAGTACAGATAAGCTTTAATGTACAATATTGAACACAATATAATCTATTCTCTATACTTTGCAAACACAAACTTTTCTCAGTTTTTAGGATGTATGCAAATGCTGTAAGTCATGTATCAGAAGATAATGAAATATGTTATTGTTTTTCTCTGTCTCTCTTTATTTCTTTATATATGTATATCTCTTTCTCTCTCACACCCTTCAGACTCTCCTCAACTTACTGACAGTGAAGACGCCCATCACTGAAGCGGACAGCATCCGAGCCCTGTCCTGCAAGGCTCTGTGTGGCCTAGCAAGGTCAGAGGTCGTCAGACAGATCATCAGCAAGCTACCCATCTTTTCTAGAAGTGGACTGCAGAGTAAATATGACTTCTTTTTATATCAGTCATGAAAAGCAAGGTGTATCGCAAGACTTTAGCAAGGATATCATAATAATAATAATAATAATAATATTGGATGTTTATATAGCGCACATATCCACCCTGCAGGGTGCTCAAAACGCTCCAATATTACCCGGCTCTGCTAGCCTACCGATTTCGGTGCACACAGCATTCAAGGAATTCCTTCCCACCGGTCCCCATTTACTTCACCTGGGTGGAGTGTGGCAAATATAGATCAATGTCTTGCCAAAGGACATCATGCCTCTGTAAAACATGTCAGTGCATCTGAAATGCAATTGCTCTAAAGATTGAGAAGTGGGGATTAGGATTAAAGTTAAGAGATTGATTTTCTACCCAAGAAATGATGGTAAAGATATTTAGATGAAATTTGGAGACAGGAAAGCTAGAAATGACAACAAATAACTGATATTCGACTTTTTATTGTGATAGAAAGTGGTTCTTAGATATGTTTCTGGAGATAGTTATCACATATTTCATGTTTATTCATCTTGATGTTTATGTTTATTATCATCAGCTCTTATGAGGGAACCTGTACTGCAAGACAAACGAACTGAGCATCTCAAGTTCTGCAAGTGTGCTTCAGAGCTAATTGGTAAGTGAAAAACTTCAGTAATAGTCCTGAAATTATCCAACTCTGACAGTGATTTTTATATTAAAATTGTCAATTTTTTTATTCTGGACATATTGGTCTTTTCATGTACATTTTTTTAGTTAAAGGTACTATGTCCCATTTGCAGGACCCAAAAATGAAAAGGTTAAATTCTTACAGCATTTGAAAGATAATACTAATTTAGAACTTCCCTCAAAACTAAAGGGCTTGAAAATGTCTTTTAGTTGAGAAATAACGAGCATTAGTTGTTGAATGGACTTTAGTGATTGCAATCAAATTAGTAACAGTCTAATTTTCAGACCCTTGTACCGATTGGCCGTACGTGTTGTGCTGCGCAAAGATTCAATCAGTTTTATTTCGGCAATAACAAGAAGTGGGTTATTGATGTAGACAAATGCTCATGTACCTTTACAGCTCATTTTATGTATGTTATTACCAAAGAAGGAAAAAAGTCAGTCAGTCACTCGATAGTGTTTGACAGTGAAGTCTAGAAAGGAAACAGGTTTCCTTGCATAATTTGAATAATAGGACACTGCTAACGTTTAAATTTTACAGATAGGACATATAATTATTATGTGACATATTTGTAATTTCTGCAAATTTCTACAGAATTTGATGTTTGATGCAAATGGGACAAGTCACTTGGGATTTGACTCTATCTTACAGTACACAAGTTTCCACCCTTATGGTTCCAAACAGATTATATTACAGAATAAACGTCCATTGCTTGTACCTTGGGATTTTGTTCACTTCTCACTGCAACCTCGTTTTGAATGTGTTTCCCCCGGACAGAGAGAGTGACTGGAAAGGCAATGTCTCTAGGAGCTGATGCTACACTGTCCAAGATTCATAAGGCTAACATTGTAGCACAAACCAAGATTAGATATGACAGCAAGGAATTACTGCAGCTCATTCATAATCATCTAAGGGGACAAGGTAAAATATAATGATAATAATAATACACAACATTTTTTAGGCGCTTAAAACAGTTGTTTCTAAGTGCATCATTGTCTGTCTACAAATTACCAACCAAAACCTATATTGAACACACAAATTATAAATCTGTTCTTTTTTCCAAAAATCATGTATAAAATAATAACACCTTCTTAGTCCTGGTATCTCATTTTTATTACTTTATACATGATTTTTGGAAAAAAGAACAGATTTATAATTTGTGTGTTCAATATAGGTTTTGGTTGGTAATTTGTAGACAGACAATGATGCACTTAGAAACAACTGTTTTAAAAATGAGATACCAGGACTAAGATGGTGTTCACCTCCTTTGTCCGACTCACAACTGAGCCTGTGTAGAATATCATTCATGAATTAAAAGGGTGCATTTTCAGCAAGATCTTTATTTGGTCGAGGGAATGAGTATTATGAATATGTGCTGTTAATTTGTTCCAAAGAATAGGGGCAATTACTGAGCTCGACCCCCATAACTTGTAACAGTACGAGGTCCAAGGTTATGACCTCATGGCCCTTTTAGACCATGGGATGACCCCTGAAATTCTTACTTTTCAGGGTCCACCATTTCGCCCCACCCAATAATAGCTTGTAAATGTTCAGAAAAATACAGAAATATTGATGGGGCATATGTTGCCATTTTTGCTGAGTGCACATGACCAAAAAAATGATTATTTTGTAGCAGAATTCAGCAGAGCATTCACAACATATGCTTTACAAATGCTCTGTGTGTGTGTGTCTATGAGAGTCTGTGTTGTGGGTGTTTTTGTGTGATTTGATCATTCTCTATGGTGCTCTACCAGCCTTGTTCACGCTAAATATTTGAACAGCACAGGTTACATGATAAAAAGCGTAACTGTTCATGTATTTGTTCATGTATTTGTATCTTTGTAAATACATGAACCTTTACATTAAACGTAAACTTGATCATATGTTCTCTGCTAATTATTTCATTGCAGGTCTTGGAGAGACAGCCAAAATTCTTGAGAGGGAAGCTGGTCTTCGTTTAGCCAATCATTCTACATCCTCAGCGGTATCGTCATTGCAATTAACTCCTACCAGTACAGTAAGTCTGTTGTTTAACTAGTTCTACCATTTCATCAGCTCTAAAAGAATTTCCTTAATATCTAAAGCCATGTCAGTATGTAGGTGCTCTGTGACCCCCTCCCTTGGATAGTCTTGATAGCATTGAGTCCCAAGTTGTATCATCCACCATCATTTTGGTTTTAGAAAGGCCTATTTGAACAAAAGTGTCCATCCACAATAACAAGGCAGTCTTCCAATTTGCATCAAGTATGTATGACAATGTTTATTATTAATTGGATCCCCCCCCCCCTTGCGAACATTGATGGAAGAACCTTTATATATGCTGCACAATTTACCCCTAATGAAAGCTGTGGTGGAAAGTCAAGTAATTCACTGTCTTCAAAACGAATAATGAATTACAGGTTATATTACACAAAATGAACAAACTGTTACTATACCACCAAATACTAGAATCAAAGAAAAGAACAGAAAACTCGACATCAAGAAGGCATCCGTACTCTTCTGTTAGAGCTTGAAGCCATCATCTGAAAATTCATTGTGTTGTTTTGTTCTAGTCTCGATCATTGAGAAACACACACCTTGCTCACGGCTCAGCAGCCGCGTCATCATCATCCAGCCAGTCAGATCCAGTCAACCAACCATCAACCTCCTCGGGGACTCCTACCAATACCAGTACCGCATCGTTGCCTCCTCCTAGGATAGTGTTTGGTCCAGACTCAAGAGCCTCACCTTCAAGTGCCAGGGTGAATGTTTCATCACATTCGTGTACAGATTTATAGATAATTGGTGCTAGCTAGTTGCCCCTTCAGAACATCACATGTTTTGTATGTAGTGCCAGTGCTCTTGTATTGTAATATGATAACATGTAGATTAAAACTAAATTGGGAACCAAATGCTCAAGTTTTATGTTGTAATCAAGAAGCACATGAAATATTAAGACATTGAATCTACTGTCCATGCCATTTCTGTTCTTCTCAATTTCTCTCTTTTTTTTTTGTTCTCCATATGCCTCTATCACTGAAGATTCCATTATCCGTGAATGGAATTTGTGTTTGTGGAGTAAACGGAATTCTTACAATATATTATTAGCCTGATGAAGTGAGGTTGAAGTCATGAGCAGCAATTTAATTACTTTTTTAATCTATCTCTGTCACATTGTAGAATGCACCCAGGAGACGAGTCATCAGGGAGAAATCAAGCCACAGTCACCTGACCCCTCTCGGCCAATCAAAACGGGCCGCATCGTTAGGAAATATTGCATCATCACGGCCATGCAAGTCACCGCCAAGCCTTGATATCATTGTATCACAGTACCTCAGAGAACAGCATGCGCACTGTAGCAACCCTGTTGTAGCCTGTCCATCATTCTCTCTCCTAGAGTAAGTAGTGTTGTTCACCCAGTCCCTCAGATAGGACGTAAAGTAGTACATTTAGTTCTTTTCATCCTTTACCTCAACCTTGAGTTAAATTCATAAATCTTCATTTTTAAGAACAGGGTAGAAATGTCTGACTTGTCTCTTTACTTAAAAAAAAGGCAATTGTGACGCAACGTGTCCATGTCGTTTCAGTCTAGCAATGTTGTCAGGGTTGAATAAATATACTGTACAAGTTCTGAAGTAATGAAGATATATCTAAATATACATCCTTTAAACCAAGTCTTGTTTTCTCCCAACCACAGTCAAATGCCTTTTGGAGACCTTATTAATTACTCAGGGTGATTGTATGATGCTAGCTACTCATCCTGTTTACTCTTTGAGTGAATTCTGTTATGATATATCGTGGGCTAATTGATGTGTTTTAAGGTATTTTAGAGTTTGATACTTTCTTAGTTTTCTTTAATTTCTCACCTATCAGAGATGATTAGTGATAAGGATCTGACATTTTCCTTTTAAATAATGTATTCTAAATGCTTATAATCAAATGCATACAACCTTTTATTCCCTGCAGACCTCACCAGTGCCCAGAGCCCAAGTTTAGACAGAATGCACCTATCAATGCTACCTCTAGGTTATTCAGGAGATCGGTAAGTAAGATGGTCCTAATGATGAATCTCTAAAAATGTCCTGACGTTAATATAATATTCACTGAAGAAAAATCAAGCGACTGTATTAGTTGTATTGAAAATATTGTCTTGAAGGCATCGTTTAACAATGTTAAATCTGAGATGCACGGCCCTACGTGTTATCAGTGTCGGTGAAATGGTGTAATATTGAAGCCCTAAAAAAATCGCGCTTCAAAATGATCAAGAAGTGCCTCAAAAAATTAAAAATATAAAATATTTGAGTGACCAGTTTTACCATACTCGTTTTCCCCAATAGACTGTAGTGTTATGAAAACTGTTTGGCAAACGGTTTTCAAAATTTGTAATTCCAATCATAAATATCTTGATAATCAGACAGGCGATCGGTTTGCGAAAGTCATGGGGTTCCTGACTCACCTAAAGGTTTATGATTATCATTGCAGCATGAGCTAAATCCAGGATTTTGTTTCAGAATCTGAGACAAAGTTACCGGATCCCTTTAATACTGTTGTCACAGAGCTCTGTTAATACATGAAGTACCTTTCTTGCATGTAGTTACCATTCATTTACACGTTTTGACGAAGAAAAAAAATCTACTGTTTACCACTTCACATCTGAACAAGCCTTTAGAGTGCCAGAGGTCCTATTTTAAAAATAATTCAGGCTCTATTGAGCTTGATAGTTGTATCCTGTCTTCCATCAGGAGAATGATCAGCCTCAAGAGTGATAAGATTCAAGACTGCTTACGTTATCACTTCATTGTCATATTCTTGTTTTAATATTAGATATACCCAGCACACGGTGGAAGGGATGGAGCCAGGTGTTCAAGGCATTTTGTGTATAGCAGGTAGGTATCAATGGTTGGATGATGTGATGTAAAGCTAGTGCCATTGATATGATTATCAAGATCATAATGATTGCATTATAATCTTCTTCTGTCTCAGAGTCCTCAGACAGCAGCATCCCAAATCATTGTTGTAACACTTTTGTATGTGGGTGGTGTTCCATAATTTCAAGGCAGTTATTATTCCTGTTTTATATCTAAAACTTCATTAATTGTTTTGTTATTGAATATGTTCAAGTTATATATATTTGTGATGGAACAAGCTTCTTGAATTTGAAGAGAGGAAAGAAAAAGAATTCCCATAGGAAAGATATATATCTTTGTTTGGTCTCTTGTAGGTTTCATCCGATGCAGACATTCCGTGATACAGAAGATGATAGCTGGTTCACATGTTGCTCTTTCAGCAAACACGCAAATGTAAGTTATTTTTTTAGACATAATGCAGCATTTATATACACGACTAGACCCTGTGTATATATCAATTTAATCTAAACAAGTTTAGTAGGGTGTTGGAGATATTAAGCTTTGAAAGATGTCTACAATTTTGCATAATTTGCAACAAATTTAAATTTTCTGCAACTCTCAAGATTGTAATGAAATGTATTTTATTGAGATAAAATGTGTGGATGATATTCAAAGTTTACTAAAAGGCAAATTACAGCATTGATTTGTTCTTTCTTTTTAAATTACGTGAGGCCTTTGTTTTTACAACCGACATTAATCCTGTTCTTTGCTTATTTTAGATGAGCATCTGTAAAGTTTATTAGAACATCAATTCATATATTTTTCAGCAAATTATTCTATTACCTCTCTGTTTCTTTCTTTACACAGCCCAGAGACCAGTTCTTATGGCTAGGGAACTATGCAGGAGAACTCAAGACATACAACTTATACTCAGGAAATGTAAGGGAATATCGTGTGTCTTTGTGTCTTCGTTTCACTCTTTCATTGTCTTTTCTATATTTTAAACCTGCACTTAAATATTAAATTCCATCAGTGTTTTTTTTTCTCAAAATGTCGTCATTCCAAAAGTGTAATGCTAGTGCTATTTTTAAACAATTTTTGTTGTTGATACATTCTCTGTACAGGAAGAGACGTCATACGTTTGCCATGACTCGCCAATCAGATTAGTGGAGCCATCGAGAGTAAGTAAACCTGTAGTTTTGTTTCCTTATTGAATGCCATGTATATTATTAGTACATTTTTGGGGGTCAATATATGCCCCTATTAAAGACATAATGTTATCATATTCTGAGGTGGAAGTACATACAACTTCAAGAGTCTTGGGATGCCCAACTGTTAAATGGTTTCGAGAAAAGTCTTGATACGATTTCAGGTAATATGATGAAACAGTAAACATTAGAATGATTCAGATGTAATAATAATACTTAATAAGAGTGACAGGTCATATTCAAGGGTCATCATGAAGCAAGGTACAGTTAAACCTGTATATTGCGACTGCTCAAGGGAAACCCAAAAATTGGTCTTTGTAGACAGGTTCCTTTAGTACATGTTTTAATGAGAAACCATTTTTAAGGGAAACAAAACATGTGGTCTTTGTAGACAGGTGGTCACTAAACCAGCTTTGACTCTACAACACATTTTTTTTGGGGGTGATCAAATCAAATCAAATCTCTTACCAAAGTTGATTTTTCCTTGTTTGTTTCTTGTCATGGTAGGATGGTCGTCTTGTCCTGACATCCAGTACGTGGAGTCATCCCATGTCTGCTCTTTGGGGAACAGAGCCATCGTTTGATAGGAAGTAAGTTGCTCCAGGGACCCGTTTCAAAAAGCCTTTTTTCAATGACAAATGACAAGAATCAGTGACAAATCCGCCGATAACCAATCAGAAGCAAGGATATCAGTAGCTTATAACAAAAGATGTCATTTGTCACTGATGACAAGTATTGTGAAATAAGGCCCTGATCTCTCAGGATAAATTGAGTCTTTGAAACATCCCAAGTTTCAAGTTTTCATTAGTGCTGGTGTTGTGTACAGGTATCATTTTCTTTAAATATTTAAGAAATTCTGTTGACATGATACTTGTGTATATGTCATGCATTGTATTAGAAATAGAGGAATGTATATGTTTCACCAAGAGAATTGTGAAGATATTATGCTTTATTACTATTGTATTTATATTTCAGGTTTTCCTTCAATGATGATGTCCATGTAGAGTTCAGCAGGGCTTCACAAGATCGTATCATCGGTACTAAAGATGACAGAGCTCATGTAAGGAAAATTAGAAATGCTATTTTTGTTTTTGTCAGTAAATTGGGGAAAGGATTGAATTGCATTTAATTGATATGTACCTCTTAAATCTTCTTCCGGATCGTATGTCATCTCATTAATCCATTGGATACGATTTGACTATAATTTAGCAAATGATTTCTATAGCTTTCAGCTGAAGATATCTAGTTTTTGGTATTCATTGGTTTAATCAACCATCTCAAAGGTTATGTGTTTATATGGATTTCAAAAAAAGGTCTACAAGTCATTTTAATGATATATCAATGATATAATTGAATTTTATGGCTTTATACCTTGTGAGAAGTGGAATACTTTGCTGGCAAAGGGATCTTGTGTTGATGATAATAATCTTTCTTTTCAATTGCTAGATATACGATGTGGCTACTGGTAAGCTCATCCTCACCCTGCAAGATGGCCAGCTGAGCAACAACTACACCAATAACTGTGCAACCTTTGACCCCACGGACGAGCTGGTGCTGAACGACGGTGTGCTGTGGGACGTCCGGTCGGCCAAGCACATCTACAAGTTTGATCAGTTCCAGAACAAGATCGGTGGGCTCTTCCATCCATCCGGCCTGGAAGTCATCATCAACTCAGAGATTGTATCCTTTAAAGAACTCTGCCATGGCTGAGGGGTGTTTCACAAAGATCTTAAGTTTAAGTCGAACTTAACTTTACGTTGGACTTAAAAGTTATGGAGAGCCATTTGTAGCCTTATTCAAAAGCGAAAATTCAAGTATTTTAGACTTCTTATAAATTCCCTATCAAGAACATGAAATCTCCCATGATAATAGAAAATATGTATGATTTGAATCAACATTTTATGCCTTTTAAAATAACTTTTACAATTTTTTTTCAAAGATGCTAACGGCTTTCCATAATTGTTAAGTTCAACTTAGGATCTTTGTGAAACACCCCCCAGGAGTCAATGGATAACATTGTATTTTAGGCTAGTGTTGAAACAAGGATTGAGGATAACATTGTCAGGGATTGCATTTTTTTTTTTTTTTTACACATCTGCATTTCTTGTTGCTGCCTCTTCAGAGACTCAGATTGAGGAAATTTATGAAAATAATGAAAGTTATCTACTATGGTTTAAGAGCAGCAAAATACAGGAGGATGAGTTTATAAAATCCATTTGACATGGGGGCTTCCGGTGAGTTGAGTTTAATTTCACTTACAATGAAACGTACATGTATCTCCTGTGATCTGACAGCACCGAGCTGCAGAAAGGATTACGTCTTAAGCCTCTATCTTATATCCTCTAAGTTCTGTGATACCCTTTATCTACAGCTTTTGAATCTGTAAGGATCTGAATTTGAAATACATTTTATGGAGTAGGTTTTGTTTTCCTTAACCAACGTATTCAACCTCAGTGGGACATAAGGACATTCCATTTGCTCCATACAGTACCCGCTCTAGACCAGTGTCGTATTGTCTTCAACAGCTTAGGCACTGTCATCTATGGAGGTGAGTTAGGAAGCATGGTTGAAAAGAATTCAAACATATTGAATGTATTAAAACAAATTGAATGTATTCAAACAGATTGGATGTATTTAAACAAGTTAAATGTATTCACACAAATTGTATGTATTCAAACATATTGAATGTATTCAAACAAATTGAATGTATTCAAACAAATTGAATGCATTCAAACAAATTTGATGGTACTCGTGCGATATATGGAATGGCAGACCGAATGGCTCTCTTTACTTATCTCATTTGGATTGAGGGCGCTGTTATAGCTGCTGCCTGTCTTTTTTTAATGCTCTTATATGTTTGGACTTATTTTCATTTTTCTTTGAAATACATCGATTTTTATCTGAAACGTTCTGTGTCATCTTTTTTATCTGCTTTTATTGATTCATGTGAGTACTGTGTATCACTATCCGTTTACATGCAAGTGTATTGCCTTATGGTGTATTCTCAATTCTTTACTTGTATAATTATTCTCTTTAACACGTTGTTGACATATTGCACCTTTCCTCTAATAACTTTGATTTTATTGTTCTTCAATGTATTATACTCATATTACTTAAACTTGTGCAATATCTTTTTGATAATATTATCCTTGTACTTTTAGGTTGTTACATTACGTGCTTTATCATGTTACTCATGCTTTGTGTGAAACCCCTTCTCCTTTCCCTTCTCATGGGTCCTCATCTTTTTCTTTTTTCTTTCTCTTTTCTTACCCCTTTCCTCAGCTATTATCACCTTTTCCCTCTTTCTTCTTTCTTCACACAATACATTCTAGTTCCGTCTTTCTCTTTCTCTTTCTCTCTCTCTCTCCTCCCTTTTTTTTTGATGACACAGAAGGTTTTTAATATTTGTAATATATTTGAATTTTAACGTAATATTTGTAATATATCTAGATTTTGATGTAATATTCGTAATATATTTAGATTTTGATTTAATGTTTGTAATATATTTAGATTTTGATGTAATATTTGATTCTCATTTTGCATAATTTATAGTCGTACGTTTTAGTCATTCATATTTTGTTTGTTTATTGTGTTGTATATTGACTTTGTAAATTGAATTATTTCAGCTTCCCAGCTGCATGTTCTTTTATTTCAATGAACCGAATCAAATCAAATTAAATCAAATCATTTATGCTAATCCTATTTCAATCTAATTTAACAAGACAAGTTCTATTTTCACATATTTTCTCCACTGTTGCTGTTGCAGATGTATATTTGACTTTTAATACATGCTGTTGGTCATAAAAGAGGAGTGGATAGACCATGCGGTACATGTTTGTATATATATATATATATATATATACAATCCTAAAACTGTCAAATTACCCATTTGTACCAGTTTAATCAGTTGAATTTTTACCTTTAGACGTGATTATTGCTGTAATTTGAAAGATGTCTATGTTAGCATGTCATACTAATATAACATATGTATATATTTATATGAAGTCATTAATTATATGCGTACCATATTTAATAGCATGAATATGTATTGTTTGATTACCTGTATAACGTGTTTCATGGTTCTTTGTTAACCTAGTTTACATAATCCTGTATGTTTTCTCTCAGTTATCTTCCAATCTGATAGTGATGATGAGCTAGTGGAGGAGAGGATGAAGAGTCCATTTGGATCATCGATCAGGACGTTTGATGCTACGGATTACAAACCTATCGGTATCTATGACTATCATAATACAAATTCTGTTTCCTTTAGTAATCAACTATTTTCCTTCTAAACCACTTAGAGGCATTATGCAATTTGCGGTATAGAAATATCTTATCATTATTATTATTATTATCACCATCATTTAGTGAAGCTCTCATTTGAAATAATAAGCAGTAGTAGCACTGAAACATAGATGATTTATTCAAGAGAACATAATTAAACATGTAACCGATAATCATTATTCAATAGATCATTGGTTTTGAATAAATGATCACAATTACTTCCAGAAATTAGATACTGATCTTTGAATTGTTTTAGTTGTAGCAGCAAAAGAATCAAGAAAAAAATATTTGTATTTTCATACTTTGATTTTTTTTCTTTCTTTTGTGTAGCCACTATCGATGTGAAGAGGAACATCTTTGATCTCGCCACAGACCCTCAGGATAAATATCTAGCTTTGGTTGAAGTAAGTATATCTATGAGCCTCACAAGTAGGCTATATGGCTGAAATGTTCTCATTGTTTAAATAATTTTGTGGGCTTTCTTTATTTATTTACGCCATAATGACTAGAATTCTGTGCTTATCATAATCAGGCCTGATAAAAACCCGAATTAAATCGGTTTCCCGATTTTTTAATTTTTTCCTGATTTTTTTTTTTCTTCCCGATTAAAAAAAAAAAAAAAAAAATCCGAATTTTTTTTTTTCTTTTTTTTTTTCAGATATTTTTTCCTCCCTATTTTATCCTGATTTTCTGGATTTCCCCCTTATTTTCTTTATTCTTCCCTATTTTGCCTTATTTTTTTCCCAATTTTCCCAATTCTTTCCCAATTTTCCCAATTCTTTCCCGATTTTCTTACTCGAAAGGGGGGAATATTGTTAGATGCCATTTTTTCCGTGCGAATACTCTTCTTTTTTTTTTTACTCAAGGGGGGCGTGGTTGAGGGAAAAACAAAATACCTATTTTTTTTTTTAGTGCTCACTATCACCCCTGCATAATACTGAAAATATTTTTTTAAAGATTTGCAAAGTTTAATTTGTAGTTTATTTAAATTTTGTATGCCTTATTTTGAAAGTATGAAGATTGATGAGCTTAAGATGATACTACTACTACTACTACTACTACTACTGCTACTAATATTGATAACAATAACAATGATGTTGATAAAGATGAAAATGGCGATGATGATGATGATGATACTGATGATGATAGTGATGACGATGGTAATAATAATAATAGAGGGTTTTTGTAAATTGCTCGTCATGTCTACCATTCTTGACACTCACGGCGCTCCAGTTATTACTAGGGCTTTAGCATGGCTGCCATTATGGCGCTGTAGCATATCAAGTAATTAATTCTTGCCAGATGCCCATGTACCTCACCTGGGTTGAGTGTGGCAAATGTAGATTAATGTCCTGTGATGGGACTTGAACCGGGAGCCATGTGATCCAAGGTCGGGTGATTATCCACTGGACCACGACACTTCCACCTTCACAGATGACCTAAAATGATCTATTTGTATTCCTTTGATTGACAGCAACAAGGAGGTGCAGATAGCCTGGATGTGGAAAGCATTTGCAGAATGTATGAAGTAGGACGCCCTCGCAAGGCAGACGGTGAAGATGATGACGAGGAAGACCAGGTAAGATGATCAGTCATTCTTGTTCCACAGTTATAATAACAATAATGACTATATAGCATTCATATGCAGTGATGCTCATTGCGCTTTGACATCATTACCTAATGTTATGAACCAGAGCACTATAACACTGAGTTCCCATAGGACATATATTTATTCAGATGGTCATATCTCAACCAATACTTAATACATTCAATTGGTTTTCGACATTCTGACATTATTTTTGATGCTCTTTCAGAAAATGAAGAAAAAATTGAGAAATTCTAAAAATATATTTTTGATGACATCACACTTCACCACTCTATAGCTGAACCACCCAAAGTAACTAGCCCTAAGGATATCAGGTACTCGGTTGTACGTTTCCTAAGTATTCATTTCAATACTAATATTTAGTAATACATGTACTGGCAAAACTTATTTGTTCCGGCATTTGTTACAGCAGCTTACTTACAAGTATACAAATGCTTTCTTAGCAGTCAGGTAAAATGAACCATCAACCCAAGTGTTTTTAATAGACCATATTTTTTGTATTGCATTGTGAATAAATACATTACATGCTCTACTATGACAAATTACCTTATTCCTGATTTGCCATTCCAATTTTCTTGTCCCTTTTCTCGCCTAGACGGAGGGTGATGATGATGGATCCGATGATGATGATGATGACAGCATGGATGACCTTGATGACCTGATCGGTGACCTGGCTGGTAATGGGGGTGGAGGTGGTGATGATAATGATGATGACCTTGGCGACAATGATGACGATGACGATGATGATGATGATATCAGCGTGCTCTCACAAGGAAGCGGGAGCTTACTTGGGTCTGACAGTTCAATAAATATACCTGACAGTTTCCTCTTTCGTGAAGATTCAGGTATGAACATGTTATCACATCAGATGGGTCATATACATATATACATTGTCAGCATTATTAAAATTTATGCTGCTTATGTGCATATCAAATTGTCTTTTGTACCATCTTACCTTTCATATAACTATTTTAAAGTTGTATTTTGGGGATATATATTTTGTGATTCCTTTAGAGAGAGAGACGTTAACTGATGTTCAAAGTACACTGTATGTAGAGGTAGATGTGTTGGAATTCTTTCTAATGAAACGTTAGGAGTTTAACATTTTACTGATAAAAAAGCAGCAAGGTTGACCATTAATATTTAAAGACCCTATCCAACAAAAATCAATTTTATATTATTGGAAAGGCGAATGAACGTAGAATACAAATATAAAGGAATAAAGATGTATATTCCCTTTCTGTATATTATTGTAATCTATGGCTTATAAGCTTTCCGTTGATATATAATCCATCTATTTCATTTTTCCACTTCCGACAGGGTCTTTAAGTAGTTTAATAATTGTATGATATGATTTTATAATTTTGCTGTTTTAACAATTTTACTTCTTCTAATGTAACCCTTGCTCAAAAGATTAAGGGAACTGCATGCTAATACTAGTGTAATTTGTTTCTTTTTTGGTAAATATCTCTAGATTTTAGTGGACCTGACTTTGGTAATGATGACGATGATGATGATGACGAGGATAACTTTCGCTATACACTTGGATCCTGGTAACCCAGTGATGTCCTTTTGTTCCTTGACTTCGTTTGGATGAATCTCAGTTGAGAACGAAACAACATTCCATTTCAAAGAGACAGAGAAGAGATACATCATAATATTACACAGCACTTTGCAGCTTATCACTATTTTTGTCGAGTGGGAAAAATGGTGTGATGTTACTAGACAACTAGACAGCTTTAAAAAACAACCAGTTATCACCTATTTATTTGAAAGGGATTTCAACTGAGAAGAAATGAGTCGAGGTGCACAGAGACTTTCTTAAAGTTATGTAGACACAATGCCCTCATAGTTCACTTGCAGTTGGTGAGTGCTTAAATCATGCAATGAAAAGGGCCTTATTGTTAGTGATATGAAGCCAGTTCTGAAGATCATGAAAATACTGTAAAACCTGCCTCGGTGACCGCCTCTCTTGTAAGAACCACCTGTCTATAGTGATCACCCATATTGCCTCCGTAGAAGGAATTTTTTTTTGAAGAACCTGTCTAAAAAGGCCACTTGTCTACAATGGCCACCCTTAGTTGGTCTTTATAGACAGGTTTGAATGTATAAGGAACATGTAATACAAAGTTGTAGATTTTAATCTTTATCTTAAATCAAAAATATATATATCATGCTTCATATCATTTTGGACATTTCTGGGATGAAAAGCTTTTTTTTTTGTAAATGTAGATATACATGTCACATATTACTCATATATTATGAGTAATTGTATCATTCAATTGATAGCACTATATATTTGCTTTATCTGTGCCTTATGAGAACTTTATATAAGGGTTAACATGGGTTGACCAAAGGTTTTATTGTACATTTACCTAGACGGTTTGCATCGACTATTGTACTTATTAATTTTCTTTCAGTATAGCAGTATACATTAGAGTGTCTTTTTCTAGCAGTTAACTTTACACTTTGTTTGAGAGAATGAATACCTTAGGAAATTGTTTAACATGGGATATGAGGTTAGTGTCTTTAACATATAAAGTGTGCAGCCCTCTCTGCCAAAATGGATTTTCGTTATGCTTCTATACATGTAAATCCATATTAAAGCATTTCATTATTCTCTTTTTGTGATTTATTTTAACTCTAAGGGGGGGGGGAGCATGCTGCAAAGGCTATTTTTTCATGACTTCGTCTAGAGTTTTACTGATCTTTTTTCTTACAAATTTATAAAATTTTGACCAAAGCGTCAAAAAATTGATGTGCTGCGTGTGGCCGAAATTAACATTTACCTTTTATGTATTGTACACGATGCAGAATTGTTATCTTGCAGATAAATAGGTAAACCATTTGAATCATAGTTATGAATCTTTGTGTACCTATACCTTCTGAGCTACTCTATCTGTATGCCAAGTTTCAGAAAAAATTTTGTCATTCAACGGCCGAGATTGGTTTCGTTTATCCATCTGGCAACACAACTTAATCCATAAGATTGATAGCCGATATGATTCTTAAAAGTTATTCTAGAGTGATGTTAACAGGATTTATGTTCTACACTTTAACATGAATCAACAAATTATGAAAGTTTAATTTACGGATACACCATAAGAGTAGACCATATTCCTCTCCTCAACCCCACCACAAAGAAAAAAAAGGTTTTAATACCAGTGACTCGTTATACCATAAACCTACATGCACAATTCAAAATCTTGTTTCACTGCATCACTTCTTTCTAATTACGAGTCAAAGCTTTCTGATTTACAAGTCACAGCTCAGTCCTTGTCCTTGAAAGCCGACGTTATGGCTTTGACCAGCACTATGTTACATTCAATGTGATAACTAACTCAGGTTCATTGCTCTCTTCCTGTGAGATAATACACTCACAACTCTAATCATACCTCAAATCATCAAGTGTAGTGACTACAATTTTTAAATCAGGAGCACTCCATGCCTAAAGAAGGGATTTTTTTTCAAATATTTTGTATTTACCTAAACTGTAAAGGAAGTTGGATGTGTGTAGTATACACTAGTACTTTTCATTCCCTCCTGGAATTGTCTTTTGTTTTAGTTTCACAATGTGGTTTTTAATGTGCACATTCAAAACTACCCCCCCCCCCTCCCCCAACAGATGGTTATCTTGTCTATGACCAGTTAAAGTCAATACATGTATTTACTTTCCCCTCTAAATTTGATTTATACTCGAAAATTTTAAGCATGCTTGGATCTTTTGTCGTTTGTTGAGAAGTAAAGCATTCTTGGTTTTTCTTTCGATATTGTTCTGATAAAAGAAAGTAAACATGTTGCATGCGTAACCTTCAACCATGTCCTTCATATTCTATTGTGGTTTTCTGTCAAATGTGTGCACTGATCAGAAATGAAGAACAACACTGTGTGTTTTAATACTTGTGTGTGCCACTTTCTCTATTTCTCCCATCCTTTTTTTTTCCCTCTGGCCTTAAAGAACAGTTTTACGTGTCCATCACAGTTTGCTTTTGTTTAAAAAAAATCATATCTTGTGAATGTACATTGAATAGGGTCTCACCCATACTCACTGATTTGTTTTGAATGTGGTAATTGTACAGTCACAAATAGTGTGCACAAAGATGTGACCAATGATTCTTGGTAATTCTACTTTGTTAAAAGTTTTGTGTGTAAGATGTTACACGTGGTACATTATTTTCATATCTGTTGCAAAGTTGTTGTATGTGCCATGTACATTATTATGCTAAATCTAAGAGAGAATATAAATTATGAACTTACAAGCTCAAGCTCTGCTCTGCTATTTATTGGTTAATGTGTACCTTTGTCAAATAGAAGGAAAAAACGGATGGAAGGCCAAAGATGAATGGTAGAGTGTATGTGAAGATGAACAGATTGAGGGAGAGAGGAAGAGATAGATAGCTAGGAGAAGAGAGAGAGAGAGAGGAAGAGAGATATAGATAGAGGAAGAGAGATATAGATAGGGGAAGAGAGAGATGGAAAGTAACATCAATATTATTTTAAAAAATAAACTAGTCTGGAGACGATCTTTCATAGACATACTTACATTTTAATTATAGTTTGAGAATCAAAACGATAGGTTTGGGTTAGAAATGGTCTCTTGCTAAACAATATTACTGTATTTCTGACACATACGAAGAGATGAACAAAATTACAGAACTTGTTCAGCATGAGCAATGTGTTAGCATTCTAAAAAGATTTCTTCTTGACTGTAAAGAGTAACAAATATGATGCCTACAATGTAAAAATGATGTTCCGAGCACAAAAATAATTTACATCCATATTCCAAGAAGTATAACGAAACCATACACAACGCTGATGGTCATATACAATGTCCAGATTTGTAATACTAATACAGCAGCCGGACAATATTGCGTTCATCTTTCTCTCTCTCTGTCTATACTTATGCTTGTATAATGTACAGTAAAGCTAGAAGGATAACTAAATAAGAATGAAATGGAAAAAAGCTACAAAATGAAGAAGAAATAAAGGACTATGAAAGAGTGTTTCAAGATTTGTATTCAAACCCTGGTGGCGATTTCTTTGAATTTGTGTCGATTCATCTCCCAAAATCTGCTTAATAGTTTCAAGAAAATCAGCACATCTGAAACCTTGAATATTTGTCTTTAAAAGTAGGTACCTTTCAATAGTTATAAATACGCTTTCATTCATATAAGCAGAAATTGTACATTTTATTGAAGATTTGTACACAGCAAGTGTTACATACCTCACACAAAACTTGATACGGGTACATCAACATGAAAAATCTGTGAATAATGATCACAGATTTTCCACATTCATTAAAAGTAACAGAGCACAGATTTGTCAAAATTCGCTTCTATTTAAATGAACATAGATGTCTAGCAAGCGTGAGGTAAATAGCTGGAAAAGGGGAAAAGTTCCGCATTAACAAAACAATCCTCAGCGTAACTTGAACACATACTCACTAGGAATAGAGCATTTATCTACTTTGCTCAAGACGAAGTATGAAAGGAACTTGCTTTGAGAGTATGAGAGCTAGCCATAAATCGGCTCAGAAACAATCTTTTTTTTGAAACATTTAGTCCTGTATAGAAAAACAAATAAATCACTAGGTCAATGTACATGAGGTACCACACTGGTATCCAGGTATAAAACAAAACAATTTTAACCAAAAGGAGTGATATACAGAGATAGGAGTTTGTACCATTTGCTTGTAATGGATAACTTCAAATACCAGTGAGTTTCTCACTCTACAGCCACATGTATATGAAGGGTATACATTTCTTCAATTTTCAGATTATCCAAGTTATGAGCCCCCCCCCCCCCCCCCTTGACTTCACTCAAAGAGTATCAAATAACTACAATAAAGAAACATACACATCATCAAAATGAAATTATCTTACAGCATATAAAAGGATAATCAACAAATTGCTATATTAACCATATATCTGAATGTGTAAAATAGCATAACTGGGAACTTCTACGTTTATATTTGCTTCCCCTTGGGTAGGTTCACGTCCATGATAAACAAAATATTCATATCATGAATTTTTTTGTCTTCCTCCGGCATTATAGCTTGGTGTTTTTCTATACTTTAAAGGCACAATGCCGAACAAATGGAAAAGTGTTACGAGATGGTGCCTCTGGTTTTAGCAGCTAGAAGATTTATATCCATACATGTGGAAAGATGCTACTATAATTTCCTTTCAACATTTTTTTTGCAAGTTTTTAAAATGACTGCTGGATCCAATATGAATGGTAGTGTTCTGACTCTAACAAAGGGCAGATATATTATTTGTAGTTGCAGAGAGGCATGGTATTAAAAAGAGGGAGGATCACAGAGCTAGGTCAGAAGCATTCCATGCTTAATGTTTGTCTGAACAGCACATCATGTACTTCGAGATTAAAATTGAGACCTATGGCATTTTCAAATGTCAAGACACTGGAGTATGTAATTACATGTAACAACCAAATATCAAGAACTTCATGTTAACTTTGAAACCATCAGGCAATAGTGTTTAAGTTAAGTATATATATCTGGATCAAAAGCTCTTTATGTCTGCATTCGGTGTTTGGGGTCCAACCTTCCTTCATTTACTAGTGTCTCTCAAACTTGACAGAATTTTTTTACTGTGATAGCAAAGAAAAGACAACAACCAAACAAAAACCTTACCATCTATACCCCAAATTATTTGGTACAACCGGATTACGTAAAAATTAGTAATTTAGAATATCCTGCCTATACTTTCCAAGAATGAAGGTCAAACAAGCTGTGACCATTTTAAAAAAAAAATTATAAATTTTGTTACGTATTTTATGTTTTATTTTTGTTAATCATTCAAAAATACCTGCTTTGTTAGATTCAGTACACTACCATTACACTATTTTGTTGCTCCACTCCATGTGGTATACAAGCAACATGCTCTTCACCCCAAGGAAATCCACTTGCATTGTAGTACATGTATGGCAAACATCTCCCCCAACAATATTGAAGACCCCTCCCCTATCTCTTGGCGGAGGCATATTTCAAGGTCCATTCTTTAGCTGTAGAGGGAGAAAAGAAAGGGAGGGGCATGGACAGAGGTAAAGGGGGGGGGGGCAAAGGTAGAGTGGTGGAAAGAATAATGAAAGAGAGAGTACCGGAAATAGGGGAATTAGAGAAAATAGAGAGAGAGAGAGAGAGAAAGAGAGGAGGGGAAGGTAGAAAAAATGATGAATAAGGGGCATAATGCGATAATCAGGAGCAGGGGGAGAAAAAAATTATTTTTCCCTTCTTTAAACTCACTTTACCAGATCGGCTTTTCTTTCCAAGGACGCTCAAAATAAAAAAATTCCTTGCAACCTTTTCCTTTTCCTTTTCCATTGGACGTATTCGGGACATTATAACCCTTTTTATTGGTCGCTGGCCAATTATTGGTCACAAGATTCAAGTAGCAAACATGATTGAAATCGAGAGGCCGCTATTGTTCACCGGTAATTTACCGTCTTAGCTTATTAATAAATCAAATCAGAAGATCAACTTGCATGTATTGATGTTTTAATAGCTTTTTAAAGAGTTTACAGCAGAAACAACCCGGCACATGTGTATTATCATTATGATACATGTACATGGAGTCCACATGTGCCTTTTTATGTGGGGCCTGATATAACGATGCATCGGCTATAAAGAGGAAAGTAAATTGGTCCCAACGACCTCATTATATAAAGTTTCCCCTGTAACAAGTGTTCCCTCTAATAACAATTTAGAACTTTGGGGAAAGAGAATCCAATCAATTTATAATTTGAATGCTCAAGATCAAAGCACATTATATCTGCCTATAGAATTTGATTGCAAAATGTAATGAGATGCGAAAAAGAAAAAAATCTGCAATGGTTAATAATCTAAGTTTTAACGAATTTCTTCAAACCAAGTTTGCAATCCTTAGCTGGCCCCGTCTTGTAAAGAGTTATGATCGATTCAAATTGAACGTAACTTGACATCAATATCACAAATGATAGGAGTTTGCAATTGACTGGAGTACTTAGGATCAACCTACATCCATAGCAACTCTTTACACGATAAGGCCCAGGGATTAACTACTCACCCATTTTAATCGCGCCTGCCTCATTTTCTTTCCACTTCTCTGCAACATCATTTGCTAAGGGATCATCAGGATTGGGGGCACTCAGAAGGGCTTGAATTGATAGCAATACCGTTCGAATCTGCAGAGCGGGGCTCCATTTGTCTGCAAACATCACAAAGAGATTATGCATTCAATGTACACCGCTTACAATTCAATTGGACTACATTAGAGCTTTAATGCCATTTTCCTTTCATAGGTATCAAATTTAAGAGCCACATCAATTTCTCAAATGATCTACTGTTCAGTTCTAATAACATTGAAAGTATACTTCAAAACAAATTTTTGCAAGAATCTATTTTTTCATCAACTCTTTACTGGCTTTGAACAACTTACATGTATGCATGCATAGAACAAAGAGTGGGCTGCCACGATAGACTGTTGACACACATACAATTTATATGTATCACATGATAACAATTTGGGAGTCTAGAGCTTCAATCCAAAAAAAGTAATGAGTGGGGAAAAAAGAACTCGCTTTATTACAAGATTTTACATGCATTTATAGAAATTATGTGTCTCTTCAAAGTTATGTACAGGTAAATATAGCTATTTGATATTAAAGACAGTGCTATAGTTGACTTAATTTCTACTTTATATCTCAATTGTTATTTTGTTTTGCTGCTGTCTAAATATTTTTGAATTTTCAAAATGATATATCAGGCACAAAAATAGCATTAATTGGTAAAAGAAAGTGAAAATATTATATGTTAGTAAGGAGACAAGATATTTACATCGACTGTTATCATCGATACATGACATTTCATCCTAATGCTGACAGACAAAATCGATTCTCAATTATGACTGTTTGTTTTTATTCAATAGACTACATCTGCTTTTGATTTTTACTGAAAGGAAATACAATCTTGCATAGATTACAATTCACTATCATTTTTATGCATCTTCCAAATCATCTAGTCTAAATGCACTTTCATGATACATGAATGAAGAAAAATATAATATTGCAAGAAATTTGCACTAACAATAATTCTTAAAATTCACAATGCTGGTGAATTCTACTTTACTTAGTACAAAAAAGGGGCATAAAAGTATTAGGGTTTTTTTTGCTCATAAGAGCTCCTTGAAAATTGTCTACAAAGTACAATAGAACAGGAAAGGTGGGTTCAGATAGGGTTCAATTTCTATATATTTTTTTCCAATTAGAATTAAAAGAGAGAGAAAGAAAGAGAGGAAAACATAGAGGAGAGGGAGAGAGAGAGAGAGAGAGAGAGAGAGAGGGAAAGAGAGAGAGAGAGAGAGAGGGAAAGAGAGAGAGAGAGAGAGAGAGTGAGAAAGAAGAAGAAGTATGTTTAGGTCACTCAATTTAGCTCTCAGCTCCCACACACTTCTTGGAGCTTTTGGCAAAATCAAAATGAAGCAATAATAAATACATGTACATGCACAACAAGAAGTTCACATGCATACTACATCATACATGTAGATGTACTTACCTTTGAGTATATCAAGGCATATACGTCCCAATTTGTCAACATTTGGATGATATATTTTTGTCATAAAGCGTACTTTTGGTGCTGCCATCGGGTACTCTTCAGGAAGGAAGAGTTCTAGATTGAAAATTCCCTTTTCGAAAGGAGACTGAAGAGAGAAAGAGATAATCATAAATGTTTAGCAAAGACAAATTTAACGTATTCATTAAATATTTAAATCACAATGTAAACACACAATGGCAATGCAGTCTTCCGCAAATGAAGAATCAGAGTACCGGTACATTTTATGAAGATCCATACTTTGGTTCATAAAAAGATTTTTGGCATTACATTGTGGAAAATACTACTCCTGATCTAAAGATTAACAATTAGAGAACTATCTAAAATCCTCTTCAATGTTGGTTACTTAAATGTAAGGAAGTCAAAGAATAGCGTTAATTTACTGACCGTATTACTCTTGCTTTTTGTCTTGCACTCATCAGAGTCAATCTTGCGATTTACTCTGCATTAACAAATCTGTTACGTTTTTACAATGACATTAATGTTAACATTAATATTAACTATAACATTAACAAAATCTTTAACCATTACAATAATGAGAATAATAAAATAAATTGGTTAAAAACCATGGAAAATTTGTCTTAAAAAATTGAATTAAACCACATTCCAAAACTGCAATCCAATTCCATATTTATTTAAGTCAATTGAAGTGTCCGGTAGGCCAATACGCAGTAATGCTTTCAAGGTTCAACCCTTTACATGAGATAACATGTACACATATCTTTCTAGTTTCCACTATATTTTCAACAACAAAATTTATGCAAACAAACATTGTTGTTTGTTTACTTGATTACTTCATTGCAAGTTTAGTCACTGGGAACAAGGAAACAGGAAGAACTCTCAACAGTATTTCAGCTTTTGATAAATGAATACAGTTTAAAATCTCTTTTACTTGAACATATGGAATTCCTAAGAAGCACAGTTCTTGGTTAGTTTGCTTGAATATAAATGGAAGAACTATGTTGCCTAAAATTTAATTGCATCAGACTAATAGTTGTGTAAGTGACAATTCACATGAAAGACTTAAATTAATAATGCATCATTTCCAATGTCCGTTTAAAATGTGTTCAACAAAATGAAAGGGTCCATAAGCTATGCATATAAAATATATAATAAATAAATTCAAATCTTGATTTTGCAACTGATTACCGTAGTATGAATTGCACCTTCATTAAAACATATTGATAACATGACAAGAAACATTTCTGGCAAAGACCTCAATGAAATTATGAAAGTCTCATTGCTTGGTCTCCTCAGAAGTTTGGTGCAGTGCATGCATCCCATTGCACGTATTTGCAGAGTATGTAGCTTATGGAACATCATAGTTTAAAGATAAAGACCACTTATGGTCATGCGATTGCATTGTGAAAGAAACGTTGTGGAATCGATCAGAAAAGGTTGATTATCTAGCATATAAGTATTGGTGTGTACTGCAAGGTTCTTGAATCATCAAAATGATAAGAAATTGGTAAAGTTACAAGCACTGTACACAGAAAGATGTATATGGGACTACGTGACACATGAGCGACACATGCATTATATCTATCAGGTCCAAATAGATATAATAATGTACCAAATATATCAAATAGTAGGCAGTTTCTCTGCAAAATTTGTATGATCACATACTAGTCAAAATATATTCTTTCAAGTGATTGGTAATAAGAGCTTCCATTTCATTTTTTGAGAAGGGGACGTTTCCAAAACTGGTCTTTACCTTTAAGGACCCTCGGCCATACATGTACTTACATCTTTGGGACCATCAATGGTCACCATAAATAATCTGCAGTTCATTTCATCTGGAATTGCTGATATTCCTGGAACTGGCTCAGAATTTAAACGCTGCGTCTCCTATTTGGTGAAATGCAGAGAGGGAGAGATGGGGAAAGAGACATTAAACATAGAGTAAAGGAGGGTGTTTTCGGCCATCTGCAGTTTTCGGCATGTCCGTTGGATGCATGATGAAATCCCTTTGAAATACATTGCATAATAGCATATCACATATCCCACACATACCATAACATGCCAGAGTCACTGAAGAACCACATTTGCAATGGAAAATATATCCTTAAATATGACTTTTTAGCGATGTAATCGGCTGTCCCGCTACCCGAATCTGAAAAAAATTGAGTATCTTACGCGTGTCTGTAAGGAATATGGGTACCATAAAATGAGCTGTATTTCAAGTATTTTTCAGATTTACAGCCCGATGTTGTGTGAGTCGCAAGCTCAAAAGTATCTCATCGCATGTATTAAATCAATACAGCCGGATACCGCAGCGCGCACACGATATCTCTGTCTAATTCAGATTCCAATTTCTAATCACCGCAGAGGTAGTTTTCGGCAGGGGGAGCTCCGGCGTGGGACACCTGCCCTGCCTGCTAGTGCTATAGATCAGCGGGGAAACGCACGGCGAGCGCATGCACGCTTTCTATTGACTTTGTACATGCGGCCGAAAACTACCTCTGAAACAGTGAAAATGGAAAAAAAAATTCTGGGATTTTCTTTTTTGTTTAAATAATAATAGTATTTGCTTCATGATTTGAACAAGAAATGATAATATATGGGAAGTAAAGAGTCCAAAAAATAGGATTTTGTCTTAAGTGGCCGAAAACCTCCTCCTTTACTCTAGATGGAAAATATTACAAAAGATAGAAAAAACAGAAAAGACAGAAAGCATAATAAAAAAATTAAAAAGATGGGGGATACACATGCAGAGAATTTAAGGTTGTAATTGTTCCCAAATTGGCAACTCTCTTATTTCCCTTGCAAGCAGCCATCTATATGGACTTCTGAGAATCATTAAGGAAAAATTAAATTCTTGTTTTATCATATCTTGGGTACAGGTGTAATGAAAGTATGAAACATTTCTTTTGAAAACAAAATATATTGTTTTCAGTACAAAACAATTGGAGAGCTTGCTCGCAAAGAAAAACAAAAAATTACCTAAAGGCAGGGCTCGACAATGAAACGTAAAAGGTGGCCTTAAGTTGCAGAATTTAGCGACACTCCCTGCAAGTGCTGACCTAAGTGCTTTTTGCATAAAGTAAGCATCACAAGATTCTGTGTCACTTTGACATTGCAAAAAGGAAGGTTCTGATATCTGCGCACTCATTCATTTTACTCAGTTTTGGGACTATTGACATGATGGATAGTATTTCTTTTTTTTACATAGATCTAGATCTAGGTCTGAATATGTATTGCTATCAGTATCATAGAGATGAACAATTTTTTGATGAACAATGTTTGTTGTTTGTTTTATATTTCCTTAGAATCTTCTAGTTATGCGTCTGTGAGCTGTGCAGACATGAATCATGATCTCTCTAGCCATGCATGCATGGACCAATCCGACTAGGTGCTATTAATATCATATTTCGTAAACAAGATAAACCACCAGCGCCATAGTCACGCTTATGCGCTAGTGCACTAGCTTTCGCACCATGCCTAAAAATAGTAAAATGTGATTCTTTTCTTCAAAATCATAATTAATAACAAGTCTTTCCTAATTTGTCTTTGTTTTTGGCTTTGCATTTTAATTAACAGAATCAATGCAACCACATTATTTAGCTGATTTAGGCTCCCATTTACTGATTTAGAATCTAGACATTATCAACTGAATTATTAGTGCCCAATCCCCAGGCTGCCCGTACGCAACTCGGCATAAGGCTCATCATTATGTCAACTCAGATGTTGAATGTCATTCGGACACAAATAAAGTCACATTCCAAAAAAAACATGAGCAAGATCCGGATCCCTTAATCCTTCTGTACTCATGACTACCACTGAGCAGTAGTTATTACCCCCACCTAAGCTAACCAACACCAAAATCATCTTCATTTCAACACACACTCACTCATCACTGTCATGTCATGAATAATGAAAAATAAAATGAGAAAGACAAAACAAGGGTTTGTCCACGATGGAAAATCATACCTTTATAATTCTTCTCGGTAGCCCCGCCATCAGTAACCGATTTTATTTGTCTTTCTTTTTTCGATCAATCATGAAATAGATCGTGTAACACTGAAGCGAGAATACAGGGACTCTTTCACCACGAAAATGTTGCGCCTAGCTAGCTAGTCCACATTACTACATACGCAAAGTATATGGCGCATGTTAATTTTACGGCCGTACGCGCGGGCGCGGGGCTTGAGGTCAAAGCGCGCGCTTACGCCTAGCTCAGTTTGCAGAACTTCCTTGAATAAAACAACGTACGCGAAGGTCGTCGAAAAAGTCAGGTAAAATCACTGGAGTTTTCGAGTGGGGGTATATGATCGAGCCTTGAGGGAAAAGAGGGTAAAAGGAGAGAGAAAGAGAGAGAGAGAGAGAGAGAGAGAGAGAGAGAGAGAGAGAGAGAGAGAGAGGGGGGGGGGGGGGGGGGGGGGGGGTGGGAGGGTAAGGGGGAATGGAGGGAGAAGCTAGGGAGATATGGATGGAAACATGGAGGTCCATGATGGGAATAAGAAAGGGAGAGAGGAAAGGGAGAGAGGAAAGGGAGAGAGGAAAGGGGGAGAGGAATGGAGGAATATCGAGGGAAGCTAGGTTAATTAAAGGATGCATCGATCGTCGCGTAATAATTCACTATATAGCTGAATAAAGAAAAATAAGTAGGCTGAAACATAATATTTATATACAAATGAATGTACAATATTCGATACTAAGTCTGCGTTTGGCACTTAAGATAATGAAATAAACGAATGATGAGAATCCAACCCCGGCCCCCCCCCCCCCCCCACTCAGTGTTATTTAGGGTACGCATATGCTCGTACCCTTTTTTTGAAAGCACCCCCTATCTGAGGACTGCCAACATTTCCGAACCCCCCTTTCGCGGGCTTTTCGCGTGCCTTTTCCTGCCTTGGAGACCCCCCTAAATCAGGAAAAATGCTCAATGTACCCCCCTAAATTCGGAATAATTTCTCAGGAGTCCAAAGAGATGAGAGAAAAAAAGAAAAACACCCCCTTTTTAAAGAAATCTCCGGGTGAAAAGTCAAATACACCCCTTTTTTTACAATTCTCGGGCCGGACTTTGTCGCACGAAAAGTACCCCTTTACCGGACATTTTGGCAACACGCATGCGGTCATTCCGACCTCTGAGTGGGGGGGGGGGGGGGGCCGGGAATCCAACACTATTTATTAGGTCACGAATATCAAACAGTAAGCATCCAAGTCAGTGTTGGTAAATAATCACTCAAGACATGATTCCAATTTTTTTCTTCTCGATAATGTGTAAATCATTTTGAAAACCATGATAATTCGCGCATGGCAGATTTCAGAGAGTCTGAAGTAGAAGTGTGAGAAACCAGATTGTCCGAATTAAACAAAAGGCTGCTATATTTAGATCATTTCGCTTTTCATAAGTAAAGAAAATGATGTGGAATTATTTATCATTCAAAAATATAATTCAAAATCTCATATATACGCTCATCTTTCTTGTGGCGCTATGGTTATGATGAATAATCACGCTGGGACCGAGCAGGCACAATTTGTAATGGATCATGATTGCAAAATTGCATTTGTTCATCTGCCTCGTACAGAGGAAAAACCCAATCCATGGCACTCACCAGGGACGAAAAAGGCGCTTATGAGAATGGAAAATGGGCATTTGTCGACCGAAAAGAGGCACCCATCAGATTTTGATAGGGGCATTTATAAAAAGGGATAGGTTCCCTATTAGAAAGGAAAAGGGGCACGTATCACTGTTAACAGGGTATTTATCAGAGATGAAAGGGGCACTTATCGCATCTGAAAAGGGAGCCATAATCATAATGATAAAGGGAAATGTGCATTTGTTGAAAGAAAAGGGGCACCGATTAGATTTTAATAGGGGCATTTATCGGAGGTGAAAGGGGGCTTTTATGAGCGGGGGGAAGTGGCTCTGATCAAAAAGAAAAAGAGGTACATGTTAAAATAAACGGGGCACTTATCATTGATGAAAAGGGGAAATTATAAGAAGGGGAAGGAGCACTTATAAGAAGGAAGTAAATAGGGGATGTGTCAAAATAAAAGGGGAATTTATTAGAGATGAAAAGAGCACTTATCAGGAGGGGAAGGGGCAGTTGTCAAAGTGAAACGAGTATCTCTCAGAATTTCTTAGGTGAAAAGGGGCATTTATGAGAAAGGAAAGGGGCTCTCTTGTTTTAATGGGGGCACTTATCAAAAGGAAAAGGAACACTTATTAGAAAGGAAAGAGGGCACGTGTGAAAAATATAAGGTGCGCTTATCCGAGTTAAAAGGGGGTAGTTATTAAAAGGGAAAGGGGCACTTCTTACAAAGGAAAAGGAACACTTTGTCTTGTCAAAGCAAAAGGGGCCCCTATCAGATTTGAATAGGGCAATTATGAGAGGTGAAAGAGGTGCTTATCAAAAGTGAAAAGGGGCGCTTCTCGTACCTGAAGAGGGGCACTTAGGCCTAATGTTACTAGAGATTAAAAAGGGCAGTTATGAGAATGGAAAATGGACACTATTGCAAAAGGAAAAGGAGCACTTATCAGAGGTGTAAAGGGGAAGGGGCACTTTTAAAATTAATAGAGGCACTTGTCAAAGTAAAAGGGACTTGTTTCCTTTGTAAAAATATGGGCACTTCTTACAAAGTTAAAGGGGTACTTTTCCTATGTAAAAAGGGGCACTTTATGGGTACTTGAAAAAAAATATATATATATAAACAGGCGTAAGTTAATATGTAAAATTGACCCTTCGACTTTGGGTCGCAGATGTAGATCTATTATAGCATTCGTGCAAGCTTCCAATACTCACCCTACCGTAATGTCTGGCCTAGTTGGCTTAATGTCGCTTGTACTACTGTTAAAAATAGATAAATAAACAATTAAATTAAAGGATTGATCGATTGATCATAGTTAATTGAATAATGATAATATATTAAAGCGAGTAACCCACCCAGGGACAGATATCCACAGTATAGTCGCCGGCTATGTTCCTCCGAAGTGTTAATTATTATAAGGAGTTGTGGTAGACCCGAGTTTTAACGGGGTGCAATACGGGGGTGCTACATCCATGCATATTAACTTATTATGAATATATCTATATGAGTCAGGGGCAGCGGCGGAGCAATTCTAAAGTTAGCCGGGATGTAGGCCTACGTTATAGGGACAGCCTTGTACAAAAGATGCAAAGAAAGATACCTTGAAATTAAGTACCATATTGAGACATTTGTATACCCCCTATTATAATCAGTCCTTTTTAAACGATTTGATATTAAAATGTTTCTGTCTTTATCTTGATCTATATTGCTTTATCATTCAAAAAGTCAAGAGGATATTATATAGGTGTCTCTATAATATTGTATATATCGTCTGTGTAGCCTGTGATCAAAGCATCTGGAGCTCCAGCGCTCTGGAATGGAAATATTCAGTTTCAAATGTTGGTAAAAGTTCTCAGACAAATACTGACAGGGCAGGAGTGAGAAGATCGAGCTCTATAGATACCTCTCTAATTAGATGATCAATGCCCCCCCCCCCTTTTTTTTTTTTTTTTTTTTTACTGTGTTATGTATGTGTTTCGATTTGCTCTATTAAATATGTCTTTTCACTTTATGTACCCATTTATTCAAATGAAGTAGTCCTGTATCTATGAGCGACTTTTCATGTTTATTCACTTGTCAAAAAACATCACTTGCTCAGCTCAGCTCTGTCTGTACTACGTACAGTGCAGCGCCGGAATTATCACGCATGCGCAACTGTTGTAAGTCTATCTTGTGAAAATCCTAAGTAAAACCGAGAAAAATGCCATCAGAAAACTTCGAAGATGAGGGTCTTCAGAAGAACCCAGACTTACAGATAGCACAACTCCGATTTCTTTTGACATTGGAGAGTCATAAAAATGACAAGAAAACAAAAGATGATCTATTGGCAGCGATTAAAAAAGAAAGTAAGTAAAATGTGTTAATGCTTTGTCATTCTGTAAATTGTAGTCCCGTTCGTTATTAAAAATGTGTGTTGAACGGGTGAATGAAACTAACATGCATTGTATTTGTACTATTGTATTTGTAGGCTAACTGAAATTTGAATTGAATCGAACATATGATTGTTGTTACTGAAAGCACACAAGTTTAAACTAGTGGTCGAAATTTCGACCACAAGGAGCTTGTAATGCATTACCATTAGAAAAAGATGTGTGTATCAATTATTAATAATGAGGGAAAATGAAATGAACGTTTTGAAAACTTTTTTTCTACTCGGGTCTCAGTCGTCTCACTCTCAGGAATTTAAGTTAAGGGGTGACCAAAGTTTGCAGAGATTTTGAAAATTTAGGGAAAATGTGATATTCGATCCACATGATATCTCATATTCTACACAAATTTATTTAGATCTATTTCAATTATTACTAAATGGATGACAAATTCATTGACTTCAAATTGGTTCATCTAGAGTAGAGTCTACGGTTTGCGGCATCGCCCGGTTTGCGGCCAGGGGTATTTGTTTTAAAAATAAAATGAATATGACTCGATAATAATCATTGAAACCTACCGTGGATTCCACGGTAAGTTCTGCTTTGCCGAAAACGTCCGTAGCAGGTGCTCCTGTCGGTACGGAGTATCCGTCAGCGATGTCGGAAATCTACGGCACCAGTCGCCGATGAAAATTCCAGCAGGTGCTAACTTTTTAGTTAAGAGATCGAGGCATGACTAGATCAATATTGTAGCTCTATTTGTCCGATATTTGTCCGATTGGAGGTGAAATTTGATGTTTTTGTGGAAGTATGATGGCTGTGGTCTGTCTCCTATCGCAGATATTTTGATTGTGCCACCGCATGGCCAGTTGCATGGGGTGGCCGCAATCCGGCACGTAATTACGTGTTTTTTCTGGTTTGCGGCGGGGGGTGTTAATACACACATAACATGCGGGATCGTGTATGATGGTATGTGTGCTGATGTGTGTACCCGCTATGACCCGATAGTTTCTAGTAGTACTTACCCCCGGATGGGATGATCCATTCGAGGAAAAGGTGAAATTGTTTAAAACTTGACAAATTTACCGTAGCAACAGATAAACATGAGAATTTGGGTTACCCGTAGTAATTTGGTACATGCTTTCATCGTGACGTAGCGCATAAAGCTTTGTGACGTACGCGTGCCGCAAACCGGTAATGCGTGCCCGCAAACCGGGGAACACGAAGCATTTCGAAACGTGGTCAATGCTGACCACGCTGTGGGTCAGTTAGGTTATTTGTGACTTCTATTTAATAAGTAAGTATATGGACTCTTTATTGAGGGTATTGAAGTATTCTGTGAGTATTCCAATAAAAATAGAATCGGCAGTTCCCCCCGATCGGCCGCAGACCGGAGCCACTACTCTAGATCTAGGATTTAGGAAAATTTATCGTCAAAGAATTCCAGAGTATTGTGATCTAAAAAATTTGATGTCAGATCGACGTGCGCGCTGCAAGTTAAAAAGTCATTAAAACAATGAGACCTTACTTCGCGCACAGGGGTTGACAGCTGATTATTAAAAAATGGGATCCATCAAAAAGAAGATATTTTCATAATTTGCAAGGCAAGATATCATAGTCTACAATCAGTTGCTACCAACCACTTCTTACTTACAATTTTGAGGATATCTGCTCTCAAAATGAAGATTTCTAGACCATTATCGGTAAGTTAGTAATTTTTTGAAATGGACGCAAATGACTGCAAAATTTGCTGATCTTTCATCAATATTTTCATAATTTTACATCCAATTCCAGAGAAAATTCCATCTATGGGTAATATTAAGTTCCTCTTTCCATTGGAGATATCAGATTTCGAAAATCTTACCAATTTGTTGAGGTAGCGAACTTAGGTCGCGTGCGAACTATGGTCACACCGAAAAATCATATTCTTCAATTGGTCATTACAGACATTAGGAAGAACTTCTACGTTCTAATAATGATATTTCATTTACATGTATAATCCAAGGGTCTTAATCGTGTCCAAGAAAAAGAAATCTGCATTGATATTTTTTGCTGCCGCAAAGTCTTGCGATAAGTCTTGATAGACCTGGTAATCAACTTGGCCAATGAAAAATAAGCCCCATTTATTTAAATGAGATTGATAATTAAACAATTATATTTTTATCAAATTTCCTTCAAAACTATCTTCTTGACTGAATTTGATATTTTTGAAATTACTTGAAAACCTGAAGTGTTTAATAAGAATGTCTGTCATAATTTTCTTTTTCTTATCGCTTGACTCTCTCCCATATTTTATATGATTTGAAATTTATTGTTCAATGTTAAGAAATGTTTACAGAAGTTCAAGTTATCAATGTTTTTATAACTTGAATGTACTTCTAGGTATGGCACCATACTATGAAGAAGTGTGCAAAGAACTTGGCTGGAAAGTAGATGCTGCTGTCTTGAAAACAATGAAAGAGAAAAATGAGACAGACCTGAAGAAATTAAATGAAACACTGGAAGATGCTGAACAGAATCTTGGAGAAACAGAAGTACGAGACGCTCTCTTAGGGAAAGCAGAATTCTTCTGTCGGATAGGGGACAAGGTACGTAGCATTTGTGGTTTTATGAAAGACATTCTGAATTCAAATCAATACTAGAGTATGATTGTGGTTCATGGTGGAAATTTGTATGAGATGGTTTGGTGATTTGAGGAAGGGGAGGGGAGGTTAGGCTCCATAGGAAGATGTCAGCCAAAGAAATGAATAGTAGAAAAGGGAGCTTGTAGTGTGGATTATATTTATATCACAAATAAATGTGAAAATGGTCTGTAAGTAATTCTGTTTTAGGGCTGTAACAGTCATCTGAAAACCATAATTAAGGTAGTGAAGGAAACTAAGTAACATTGGAGTCGACTCTTTCTTGATCAAATAATTGCATACAAAAGATTGTGGAGAAAATTGGAGCCTTTGTCTTGTCCAGTCAAGATATTATATGATGATATGATTGTGTAACCATAATCATTATGGATGTATTTATAAACAGTACAGCCAAGCTCCTATATCATCACTTTATTTCTTTTTTCTCTCCAGGAATCTTGCATGACAGTATTCAGGAAAGCTTTTGACAAGACAGTTGCATTAGGACACCGCCTTGACATTATCTTCCATCTCATCCGTGTTGGACTTTTCTGGAATGACAATGATGTTATCACCAGGAATATAGCCAAGGCAAAGAGGTAGGTTTCAGATAAATAAGTTGTTAATTCTTTTGAAACTTCAATTATGGATGAGCTATATTTATACTTGCTGCAAAGCCATACAATTTTTTTGCAAATTTTAAACTTTGACTAGTTTTGTGGCAAGAAACTTTCTGGAATGGCACACATTCAACGTTTGGATTCATTATTTTGGGATAAAAAACTAATGCAGATGTAGACCATGCATTGATATCGTTGAAGATCTGATTTTAATGCAGTCATTATTGTAGCACACCATGGACTCTATTTATTAGTGAGTCCAAGTCATTGATCTCAAGTAGAAGAAAGAAAGAAAAGGGATGTGTCTTATATGGTCAAGGACTTGGAATAAAATTTGTCAAAGCAACAACAACAACAACAAATATACCCTCTTACATGTAGATATGAATAGAAATGAACAATTAAATAATTGAAAAGATGAAAGTGGGACATTGTCACTGTAGATCTTGACTATTTCTTATCTTACTGAGCTATCAAAGTAACTTTCTCTCGGTCTTTGACAATTGCTTACTTTCCACCCAGCATGATTGACGAAGGAGGAGACTGGGATCGGAGGAATCGTCTCAAGGTCTACCAGGGTGTCTACAATATGTCCATCCGGGAGTTCAAGACATCCGCAAACTTTTTTCTCGATACTGTCTCAACATTCACCTCCTATGAGCTCATGGAATACAAACAGTTTGTCAAATACACAGTCATCACCTCCATGATAGCACTGGAGAGGACCGAGCTGAGAACCAAGGTGAGATACATGTAGTATCATTTTAAAGGTATAGACCAGTTTTGGAAATGCTCCCCTCTCAAAAAATGAAAGGGAAGCTCTTATTACCAATCATGTGAAAGAATATGTTTTGACTAATACGTGATTATACAAATTTGCAGGAAAATCGCCTACTCATTGATATATTTGGTAAATTATTATATCTATCCAGACTGGATAGATATCGCGTAGTCGCATATACATCTTTCTGTGTACAGTGCTGGTAAGTTTACCAAGACTGGGCCAAATTTCTTATCATTTTGATGATTCCAGAACCTCACAGTACACACAAATACTTATATGCTAGATGATCAACCTTTTCTGATCGATTCCACAATGTTTCTTTCACAACGCAATCGCATGACCAGAACTGGTCTATACCTTTAATGACAAGAATAAATGTCATACACGTACGACCTTTCACAACTTTATAAAAATGTCATTAAACAGAAAGGCAGAGGCTGTAACTTTACCTTTTTTTCTGGTGTTTGTGTATTAAGGAAATTATGGGATTAAGAAAAAATGGAAGTCGATAAGCTTTTGGAACTTGGTCGAGTTGTAAATTACTCGATCTTAACGACAGAACCTGTTGCAATAATATACTTCTTTTTTGTTGTTGCCTGTGAGTTTGCTTAAATCTGTCTCTTTATGAGATGTATTCAGCACTGAGCACTAAATAAGAAATATGCCATATTTGTTTTCAATTACATGGACTGTCAAAACATGAAATTCAAGCATGTTAGAACAAATCACATTTATCATCTTGGTCATTAGGTTCCTGACAATATTTCTAATGTCATGAATAAATAATGTGATTATGCAATTTTTTAAAAATTTTGTTACAGGTTGTGAAAGGATCAGAAATTCTTGAAGTGCTTCACAGCTTGCCCAAACTTCGAACATTCCTCTTCTCTCTGTATGAGTGTCGTTACGGAGAATTCTTCCAGACTCTCGGTAAGAATATGTTGTTTAAACCTCTACCAGGAAGGATATTCAGGAAGATTTGGTATCGTGTTTAGTTTCAGTCTTCATGGATATTTAACATTCTACAAAGCATAATTTTTCTGTTTCCCCCAAGTATGAGCAAATGTCTTTTCATAAAGATGTCTAATATCAGGAAGTCTCTTCTTTTCCTGATTTTTGAATTTTATAGATACCATTGCTCATATTCATAAAACCTAAGAGAGCCTAGTTGTCAACTTACTGTGTTATGTAGCCTATATAAATAGTTGACAACTAGCTCAGTAAGGTCATATGATTCAAATGTGCTGAACTGTGGCACAGATTTGCACATCCCTACCCTACCCATGTACAAATATTGTTCATAATATTTTCTCTCCTCTTTAATTATTTTTAGCCGAGGTTGAACAGGAAATGAAGACAGATAGGCTGATGGCTCCCCACCATCGATACTACGTTCGTGAGATGAGAATTTTAGCCTACACGCAGCTGCTGGAGTCGTATCGTAGCTTGACCCTTCAGTACATGGCCGACACATTTGCGGTCAGCGTGGATTTCATTGACCAGTGAGTAAAATTCTGTCACCTGTGATGTTCTGTAGCATGGTGATATGAACAGGAGTATCCATGTAAGGGCTGTAGATTTGTACAAATACAAGATAACAAATTTATATAAAAACTGTTCTTTCTTTGTGCTTACATGGAAATCTTCGTCCATGGGAGGAAATTTGAATTGTCCTGTGAAAATGTTGTTGTAGGTTAATGATGTGACATAGCACAGTTATATTTAACAAATCATGTGTATAATAGTTTGTAGTCTTAAACATTCAATAAACTTCATGAAATAGGAACTTTGGGAGAAGTTTGGTTTTATTTTAGTTGGGTTCTGTATGATAGAAATACGTTGTGTCTTGTTGGCAAACATAAAACCTGTACCAGTAATTGACGGGAGTAGACTCGAGCTGTAAATACATGACATTTCTCTGTCTTACATCTATGAAAATGAAAGGAAAGGAGATTATCTTTTCATGTATTTGTAATCCAGTGCCGTTGATTAATGTTAATCCTGTCTATTTTAATCTAAAAATTTGTCGTTCTGCACTATTTTCATAGGGAACTATCCAGATTCATAGCAGCAGGAAGGCTTCATTGCAAGATCGACAAAGTTGGTGGTATCGTCGAGACGAATCGACCAGACAGCAAGAACTACCAGTATCAGGTAAACTACCGAAAGTATAATCATTGACGTTTGCCAAGCTATGATTATTAGCTTTATAAAGTGTGTAACAATCACTGAAATTCCATATTTTCTTCTAAAACACTATATTTTAAACTTGATTCATAAGGATATAATGGAGTAAAAAAAAGTGGTACATCCTTTTATTCAGGCAGGATGAAATTTATCTCTAGCTACCTTATTGACTGTATTTTGTTTCATCTATGAATGATAGGACTTTAGGTAAGTTGTCCATCAACAATTTTGTCTTTGTATGTAGAGAAGGTCAAAATTATACTTATTGTATCGTTACTCTTGACCTTAGATTGACTAAGTTAAAATCAATTTGATTATCCTCAATTTTTCACCTTTTCTCATTGAACTGAAAGTAACAATGGTCATATAAGATGTAATTTAAAATGCATCTCCTTTCATTTTCTTCTTCTGCAGTCTATGATAGAAAAAATCATTACTTGCATTCATTCCATTTTGTACTTTTTTTTTAAATTCTTCAATTTTTCACCTTTGTTTCAGGCAACCATCAAGCAGGGTGACATCCTCCTCAACAGAGTACAGAAGCTGAGTAGAGTGATCAACATATAGACCGATGAGAAGAGACCACATAAACAGACTGTCACATGAGGAAATTTAGCAGTGCCCCCACAATCTCCTTTTTAAAATCACAAAACATATTCTCATCTGATTTAAAATCCCTTTTACTGAAAGGCTAGCTCTTCTTCGGCCAAATGATGCTATTGGCCTGAATTCACAAAGGAGGTTTATTTACACAGCCCAAAATTAGCCCAAAATAAGCGTGACACAGTCAGAGGTCCAATATCAGATGCGTGCAAGGCAAGGCAAGGTACACTTAATTTGCACTAATTTTAAACCATGGGTTATGTAAATGAGGGTTTAAACCATGGGTTAAATTTAAACTTCCTTTGTGAAATCGGGCCATTATGTTTTCATTGAGCAAGAAAAGCATATTCTTTATAAAGGTATATGAGTATTACAACCTCCTGCCTCGATCCATGCTATTGAGGGATGTTATTCTAGTTCATTATTATTCATAAACCTAATGGAAAACACGACTAAAAAGGTAATGATTAGTTCCTTCTCATATTAAGCAAGCGTAGGATTCAGTTTTCAGGTTTTTCTGGGGCATTCGCTTGATTGATAATGTACGCATTTGTTATGATTTAAATCGTACATGAAAGTCAGAAAAAAATGTCTTTAGTCATAGGATGCCAGAGGTAGACTTTTTACATAAAATGTATTCAGAATTATTCACATTTTCAGTTAATTCATACTAACTCCATGTGGTTCAAGGCTTTGCACTGGAGCATAGATTTGAAATAAAACATTGTTTTTGTTATTTAAACAGATCTAATGCAGATATTGAACTCAAGAATTTTGTGAACTTAAAACATACACCTTTATACACGGGTTTGCTCAAGTTACATTGGGTTTTATTGTCATGTAATTCATGCTATTATTTGCAAGTTGTATGTAGCAGGAGATATAGGCAATGTCAAAATTACAAAATAGTCGATGTCATTGATTTTGTCCTGGAATTTGATGCTTAGCCAAAAAAATAACTGCATCATTTCTTGCAATTTACGTTTCAAGAAGTCTTATTTTGTGAAGGGTTTAGACCAATCTGTTTCAAATATTCATTTTCAATTGGAATGATGTTCTAATTTCTTTGATTAAATGGAAAGTTAAGAGCACTAAGAGCTACATTTAACTTTTAGAACCTTTGCAAATGAAATATACTCAGGAAAGGATTATCCATGGAGCTAATCCAATCACTTGATGACTTTTTGCTTGTCTCTGCCCATATATTTGAAAATGCTGTCACAACAAGAATTAATTTTGATAAAAGTATGAACTGTCCTACACTGATGGATAAGAGAGCTGTGGATATATGCCCAAACTCCTAAGTACATACTCATCTATGGGTTCTAGCGTACCACAAATAGTGAAACATATGACAAGTCTTGGAAGGTTGTTTGAAGCATTTTATCAGTTTTATTGGGTAAGAGCCTCAAGGTGAAATTAAAGAAGGGAAGGGGAAGACATGATAGACCATTTCCAAAATGTTTTCAAAATTCATAGCGTTGAGTTACTAATATTACATGCACCAGTTATGTCTTGGTGTATCTTAATACAATGCAAACTGCATATATAAGTTGTCTCTGATCGGACAATCATGTCCCACCTAACAACACATAATATTGATTTAATCATAGCAGGTAAATAAAATAATTGATTAAGAGGCACTTAACAAAGGTGTATGCTTTAAATTTGATATCACTACAAAAAAAAGCTGATTTCTTTCATGTGACATGATGTAGTAGAGATATGGTTTTGTGCTGATTCAGCATTCTGTATATATTATGTATGCTAAGTAAGGTAAGGTAGTTTATACTCGTTCAAAATGATACACTTCTATGTAATTATTATTATTGATAAATCATAGAAATATGATAGTGCTACCAGAGTGTTATTCCTATTATGTATGGGGATATGCCTTTCACAAGGAACAGATAATTGTGTTGTCTGAGTGAGTAGTAAGTACATGTCACCATGTAGTTGGAACTGACCATCACAAATGTTATAACATTCTGGTGATAGCGTTCTTTTTTGTTTTTCACAGAAAGAAAGAATTTTTTTTTAATTTGTCCAGATGTACTTGTCAGTGATTCTGACTTATATTACACTGCAGAATAAATATTTCTATGGAATGAGTATGACTGTTAAACATGTCTCCATCTATTGAATTTCTTCTTGGTCAGTCTGTGTTACCGAGAATAACAATGCATTTTCCCCTCTTTTTAGCATTGAGCATTTCTTCCTAAACTGAAGACTTTCATTTCACATTCATATCAAAGGTATCAAACAAAATCAGATAATACATTAGGAAGTCTAAACAAAGGTTCACCATTACATATTTTGTTAACTTCTAATCTCTTTCGTAGATCAGAAGTAAATAAAAAACAATTATTCTCTCAATTTGTTTTCTTTTACTTGAAATATATTCTGTTCAAAACATATCTCTATTTTGTATTCGTCCTAAAAATATTTTCCAAGAAGAAACAACATGGTATATTTAACCCTTTCTGCTGTATCAGATGGTTATAAAAATTGAAATTTTTCACGTAAATTCTTGAAGTTAAATCTTATTCAAGAATTTTTTATGACATAATATACAGTATCGTACAGTATTTAACCGAATTCTGATATCTCTCTCTCTCTCTCTCTCTCTCTCTCTCTCTCTCTCTCTCTCTCTCTCCTGTATTTACGACTGCTGTGAATCACATATTGATAACTCGACTTTTTACCACATAATATACAAATCCTAAAGAGCGCCATCTCGTGATGTCGAGTAAATAAATAGGTATGGTGCCAAATGTAGACCTTGTATTTCGTTTGAATTACGGTGATGAATAAACGATATGAATCCAGTCATGAAATAAATATTGTGAAAATTCATGTTTTTCTAAAATGGTTTTATTGCATTTCGTTTAAGCATTTCGGTCAAGAATTGGAAATTGATATTGGACCAAGAGATTGACACTGACTGCTCCACAGATCAGTAGACTTTATTCAAACCTGCATTTAAACCAGTAAGTTCAAATGTGAGACTATCTGCATTTGTATCCACTTGAAGTTGTTTTCTCATTCGGTGCCATAACACTTCCGATTATTCATTTCATCTCTTTTCTCCTCTGCTTTTTATTTACGTAATACACCATTATTGCTCAGGATTACTTACTTTTAACGTTTTGGTTTTTTTTTTTGTTTTTTTGTACTGTCGACGCTTTAGCCGAAAGTCTTGGCGATCATGTTAATCTAGCTACAAAAGAGGACTTTCCAAATTATAGTTCTTTTTTGTAACAAGATGATTGTTTTTTTTTTAAAGTTTTTTTAAAGTTTTGTTTTAAAACTTTGTCTAGAAATGTCACTATACATAATGATTTCGGGTACTTACAACAGTGGCGTAGCTACGGGCAGGCACGGATCCAGTGGGGGGCCGAGTGTGCCTGCCCCCCCCCCCCCCCCCCGCAAAAAAAAAGAGAGAGAGAAGAAAGAAAAAAAGGGAAAGGGAAAGAGGAGAGAAAGGGAAAGAAAGAAGAGGAAGAAGACAAGGAACGGGGGAAGAAGGAGATCGGGGGGGGGCCGAAAGGGCCTTGCCTCCCAGGCTGTTGCCCCCCCCCCCCAATCAAAAAAAAAAATAAGAGAGAAGGAAGGAAAGGGAAAGAAAAAAGTAAAAGAGGAGATACTGGCGTACTGATAGGGGTGGGTGGGGGGGGGGGGGACTTGGGGGAAATCAAATTCAAACGTGGTTTAATTCTAATTCCATAACGGTGGATTACGAATAATGCTGGAATGACATAATTTCCGAGATTTTTCCTCACTTTTTAGTAAATTATACTTTGTTATGTGTTTGTTGGAAAATGACAAATTCCTAAATTTACAGCCAGGCAAGAATATATGATTCTTGAGATTCCTACATGTCAGGGCCCGAGGTACGGCGTGGATCGGGAGCCTCAAACTCTCCCCCCCCCCCCACTTTTTTTGAAAAAGTATATTAAAGAGAAATTAAAAGAGAGCAAGAAAGAAAGAATAGTTAGCTGCCAGTGTAAAAAAATAATGAGGCATCAAAATATGCTCATCTGACCGTGATTAAATGCTTAAAACGCCCCTCTATCCCCTGGATTCCACTAAGGGCCCTAAGGCGGGCCCTTAGATGCTCATCTGACGATAATTTAATGCCTAAAACCCCTGATTTTTTGGGGCTCCGCCCCCTGGACCACACGCCAAAAAGTGTCCTGCCAGTGTCACAAAATAATAAGATATCCAAAAAAAAAATGCCCACCTGACCGTAATTAAACGCCTAAAACCCCTGAGCCTTCCGGGGGCTCCACCGCCTCGACCCCACCAGGGGCCCTAATGCGGGCCCCTGAATGCTTATCTGACCGTAATTTATTGCCTTAAACCCCTGAGCTTCCGGGGTCGGACAAGGTATCAAAATGTGTTTATGTGACCGCAGGCGCGTAGCCACGGGGGGGGGGGGGCGGTCCTCCCAAAATCGCCGGCCAAAAAACAAACAAAAAAACAAAGAGAGGAGAGAAAAGGAAGAGGACGTAGGAAGAAAAAGGAGCAGACAAAGAACATCTTTGAAATTCAGACAAGGAGTCGAGAATGGTACAACGCATCGTCTTCTTTCTCTAAAATGAAACGTCAAAGCTTCGCGCAAGGGGGGAGGAGTGGGGGGGGGGGGCTGAATTCAGACAAGGATTAAGAATCGAGATTTGTAATTTGTAAAGACTTCCGCGCTTCGCGCGAGAGGGGATAAACTGAATTCAGACGAGGATTATTTTCCGGAACGGTACAACGAATCGTCTTCTTTCTCTAATAATTAAATGAAAAGTCAAAGCTTCCGCGTTTCGCGGAGGAGGGAGGGGGAAACTCGCCCCTCCCTGCACCGACCCCCCCCCGCATTACGTCACTGTTGGTCACCATTACGTACCAAAATTTGGCTCGCATAATTTCAAATTTGGGCCCCCCCCCCCCTAAGAAATCCTGGATCTGCGCTTGTGTGTATGTGTTGTATTCACTCGAAAGGATCGAGTCTGATTGGTGATGGCCATGCGACATCAAAACTCAAAGCTCCATCAGGCCGTCCCCTTTTTTGGTGCCCGTCTCTGGTTGAAAGGTCTACTTTATTCAAGATTGGAGCGGGTGCGCGTGCGTGTGTGTATGTACGGTCACGTACGGCTTTCGTGCATAATATTTGCATATACGTAAAAGTGATGGTGTGTGTATGTGGGTGATGATGGGTGAGGTTAATTTTGAGTGGGTGGTGCGGACACACGGATGATCGTTTTACAAGTTACATAATCGAGCGATATCAGTTTCCATGCAGCGATGCACGCTAGCCTGACAATTCCACATCAACTCTAGATCTCTCCAGACATGTCTTCACATTTACAAAGGTAAGATCTATCTCAATATAAATACTTCTATCATGCTAATTTCAAGGCCCTCTTATTCTTAAATACAAGGCTTAATATATCAACTTGTAAGTTTATTATAAACCATATCATGTAAATTTAATAGAGATAATTGAGAACTGACAGAATACAGAATCTTTCGTACGAAATTTGCCGACTCTGGCATTTTGGTTTTTCTGACAATGGTTTAAAATATGTGATGAAAAAAATCCGTCAATAACAATTATTTATTTCTCCCAAAAAATCCAAGTAAGGTCTGTAAATACGTTTTACCTTAGCCGCCAGCCCTTCGCTTAGTTAACAATTCCTTCATTCTTAATGTTATTCAGCTTTTCATTTTTCGTATTTATTTCGCTTTCATTTCATTCATCGAAAAATAATTTTCTATAATGATTCAGTAAATTAATAATACTTCATTGAAAATGTATAGATTTTAACTGTATTTTCAACATCTTCTCTCATAGATTACATAATTTTAGGTCTGATTATTTAGTCTTTTCGCCCTTCATAGTTAATAAACCGTTGGAATACGATTTATGAACCTACGGAATTATGAACCTTCTGGAAAACTACATAATTTTAACCGTTGTCATCTATGAAGGCTATTTTTTACTAGGTAGTCAACACTTAATTTGTGTATAAAATGGCTGTGTTTGTTGTTCTCATTTTACCATTTTGTATTTGTCATGCAGGTTCTTCTCGTTGCAAATGTTTTCGTAGTACCAAATAGTTACGTCCATTCATCACCACTTTTTGATAAAAGCATCAACATATCGCGCTGTGGATGGAAAAGAAATTTACTAAAAGCACCAATATAGTTCATTGATTCAGCGAAACATCACAAGAGAAATTGAGTATCATGAAGAAATTATTCAAAAAAAGTGCGGCACGAATAATGCTTCGCCTCATCTTGCTCTCTCTGGTCATGGTAGCTAATTCATCCGAACATACAACGTCCGAAACCCCATTGATCCATCAAACTGATTCAGAGGGTCTATCTGAGACACCGCAAACTTTGGAAAGGAGTTCTATCAATATCCCCACAACGCTCCTGCCTACACCATCCGCAGTCACCACCGAAACGAATACCGAGGCTTCCTCCCAACCATCACAAACGAGTGATGTGATGCATACAAGCCCATCCAGTTCCGATGGTTCTGATCAGTTACAAACCATTCAAGAATCCGTAAGCGAGTTTACCAATGTCACTATTGTCCAACCATCGACAGAATCGGTCGCCCGGCTTGATACAACCATATGGGTGTGGCGATTCTCGTGGACATGGGTGACTATCCTTCAGTTAATCATTTCATTGATCGGTATTCTAGGAAACCTCCTGGTTGTCGTTGTAATGAGAGTTCGTAGGTCCACTACTAATTCTACAGACATTTTTGTAGGAGCTCTAGCCATTTCTGACTTGTTGACATCATTATTCAATGTTCCTATTCCAAGGGCACTCCAAGTGCCTGATAACATTTTGGGAGGGTTTTATTGCCGACTGGTAAGGACTAGTTGCCTGATATGGATCTGTGTCGTTTCTTCGAGCTATATCCTGGTAGGTGCCTCTTTTGAGCGTTTAGCAGCAGTTGTCTATCCTCTGCGCATCAAGGACATCTTCACAAACCGCAGGGTTTATATCTTTATCATAGTAGCATGGTTGTTTTCATTTGTATCATGTTCCTACTACTTACTGTCATTCGTATTTCAAGGTGATCTTTTGTCCCGAATCTATTGTCTACCAACCGATTCCGATACTTTTTTATTAAGAATAATTAATTCGTTCAATTTCGCCATACGTCTGATGGTTCCTACTGTTCTCATGATGGTTTCCCAGACAGCAATTGCCATCTTACTGCATCTACAATCTATTCGAATGCGGCAAGCCATGTCTGGCGGTTCCAAGCAGTCCTATCATATCCTGGCCAGGAATCGTGTCATTAAAATCATGTTGGTAGTGATCATCATCTATATTCTATGCTGGTCTCCAAGTCAGATCGCGTTTGTTGTCGTCTCTTTCAGAGGAACGGCTAAAGCCTATGTGAGCAGCAGCGTCCGCCAGATTCTTAACTTGATAACCTTTATTAACTCGTCCATCAATCCTTTGATCTACGCAGCTCACTATCCCAAATTTCGTTCTGCTATAAAAGAAATCTGTTTGGGTAAAACACAGAAAAACGTACCGTTGTTTGGTATGGAGACCATCCGAACCCCCAATCACGAGTTAAGCACAGATGGTCATGCCTAATTGGTTATGGGTTGAAATATATGTCTTTTGTGAAAAAGTACTAAAATTGTTCGTCTCAAAATGTAAAGGTAGTGTATCCCTTTTGCAGCCAACATCGAATTTTGTAGAACTTTGTAGGAATTATGAATATGTCACGTGTAAACGTTCGCAGTGTCGCAATGACATATTGACATTACATGATTATAAATTACATGATACATGTACTTATAAGGAAAAAGAAACGAACAAAACTGACAAAGGTGAAAACGTTTGTAATAATATTTATGTGCTACGAATCATATTGTACGAAAGTGATATTGTGAGTTTGATGATATCTTAGAGAAGGTATGCATGGGTTTTACACCGATTCTTATATTTTGTCTTTATGTTTTGATTGGTTTATCGTCGTTTCTCTATTCACGTACACAATCATTTTTAAAGGCATTTGAACCTCCATTTCAGTTTCTTTTCTGAATGAATTGAGGATGATTGGTCTATTTTCTCACTTTTTTATTTTATTTTTTAATTATCTTATTTTGATGAAATTAAGCCTATAATGGATAAATTGGTAATTTAAGAAGGGTAAGATATAACGGTTCCCGGGCTCAAGTCACACTACAAGTACTTTCTTTTTTATTCGAGCGGATGAGTGGCAATTTAAAAAATACATGTGCCAAGGATTACAAAAAATCACCAATTTGACTTACATCAGAAAATGGATGATTAATGTATGGCCTTCTTAAATTAGTTCTTAACAACAAGAATTCTCGAAACTATATGCGTTCATAAAAATAGTATCAACAAATTGTTGTTTATTTGGTCTATAAGAAGTGTATGATTGGATATGTTCTAATCTTCGCATTTGTAGATATCGTTGTTTTAAGGGAAGAATTTAAGTTAAGAAAGGGTAGCTTTCTTACAACTATTTGTGAAGCGTTATATTGTATGGGTGAATGGTAAACGCGAATATATATATTTTATATTGTACATAACTATTTAGCTTTCTTACCTAAAGATATGAGCTAATCAATATTAATTTTTTGTCGTTTATGAACCACTATTGTGATTCTAGTTAGCATTTGACATATTCTAGTTGGGGAAATGTTATTACGATTTTCCATATTCGATTTGATAACGTTTTGAGAGATTTCCATCTCAGAAGGAGATAACCTTCGATTTGACAATGAACCGGCCAGATATTTGCTAGTCTATAAGTCCGTACTTCTTATAATATGTATCGAGTTATTATGTCGTTTATTTTGTTTAGGATCTTACACTATCACGCCAAGATAATAAGCATGTTAATATATGTTCCGATATACCAGGGATTGGTGTGGAGTTGGCGTACAACTTTATAATCATTTATCTATGATACATTGGTGTCTGCGTGATTAGACTATGTACGTTCACATGGTGTGTTGGGAGTGAGCGCATCGTTGAGAACAGAGAAAGGATTACAACTTTTAACCAATAGTACCTTGACAAAGAGGAACTTGGACTTTTTAGGTTTATTTGTCTCAACTCCGTAATCTGTATAGAGCAGGTACTATAGTATTAGTAGCTGAAGCAAATATGCTTTAGCCGTCACTATTATGAGTGGGTCTTATTATGGTCCAAAAGGTCCAAAACGCTCATGTGTCTTTTCAGTATGAATTAAGTTAGAGAACAACAATTATTATTCATTTGCACGATATTATGTCCAGTTTACGAAAGCACTATATGTCTATCATTCGGTAGTCTCCAGTTGTATATTATTAGTCAGACATGTATAAATCTATTTAGTCTATTCGTATTATGTTAGTTATAGTTTCTTCGTTATAATTACTTAGTACATATTTGTTATCGTCTTGTTTACTTTATTTAGGTTTAGTCGAGTTAGATATTGGTTAGCTTCGTAATTCAGCAGTTATACGTTTCGAGTATTTGTTGTTAAGTTAATAGTTACTATACATTATCCATTATAGTGAATGATAAGTCTTTGTTTGGTTAAATATTGGAACCGAGGGACATGTTGTTGATATTTACTTTGCTATTTCATCTAATGGTTAAGTTTGGATGTAAACCTATATATTAGTAGGATAGGAACTATAGAAGTGTATTTGTGTTTTGATTATGTGAGTTTGTTTGTTGAATACGAATATTCATTTATTATTATTACTTGTTATTAAAGGCAGTCCGTGTCACAAGTTTAACCATCACACATCTCTTCTTCGCCTCCTGTTTTACAGACTCATCTCATCTCTATTTTTGGTACCCTACTCTTACAAAAGTAACGAGGGCTACAAAAATAATACAACATAACAATAGATTCACAAATGACGTCTGCTGTCTTTCGAATCCTATATACGATAACTTTTAAAAAGGCCCACGAAATTGACTTTATCTGTCTTGAAGGCTTTTGGTCCCGTTGGTTTTCGGTCTTGTGGGATGTATAGCCTTTGGCAATTCCCATTTCAGGTTGAAAACTAAACATTCTTTGCCAACCTTTTCCTCCGAGCAATACAAAGTAGTCCCGCTGAGTTTATTTTTTCTGAAATGGATCACTAGATGGAATTCTGAGGTATTTCCTTAATTAGCCAGGTAAGACAAGGTCTAGATACAATGTGTGGGGTGCGTGCGTGTGTTTGTGCGAATGTGTATGTGTGATTCACTTGTAATAGCCCTGTGTGCCTTAACACAAAGAGAGCATATTTAATGCCTAAAACCCCTGAACTCTTGGGAGCTCCGCCCTCTGGACCCCACACCAATTAGTGACCTACCAGTGTCACAAATAAGGTATCAAAATATGCTCATCTGACCGTAATAAAATGCCTAAAACCCCTAAATTTCCGGGACTCCACCCTCTCGACCCCACCAGGGGCCCTAAGGCGGGCCCCTACATGCTTGTCTGACCGTTACAATATGCCTAAAACCCCTGAGCTTCTGGGGGCTCCGCCCCCTGGACCCCACGTCAATAAGTGACCTGCCAGTGCAGGGTCAAAAAATTATGCTCATCTGACGTAATTAAATGCCTAAAGCCCTGAGCTTCCGGGTCTCTGCCCCCCGAACCCAACCAATGGCCCTATAAGGCGGGCCTCTGGATGCTCATCTGACCCTTATCTATTGCCTAACACCCCTGAGCCTCCTTGGGCTCCGCCTCCTGGAACTCACGCCAATTCGTGACCTGCCAGTGTCACAAATAAGATATAAAATATGCTCATCTGACGATAATTTAATGTATAAATACCCTGAGCTTCTGGGAGCTCCGGAACCAACACCAATTTGTGTCCTGCCAGTGTCACAAATAAGGTATAATGATATGATCATCTGACTGTAATTTATTGCCCAAAACCCCTGAGCTTCTGAGAGCTCCGCCCCCTGGACCCAACACTAATCCTGCCAGTGTCACAAATAAGGTATCAAAATCTGATCGTAATTTATTGCTCAAAACCCCTGAGCTTCCTTCCGGGGGCTCCGCCCCTGGACCACACGCCAATTCGTGACCTGCCAGTGTCACAAGTAAATATGCTTATACACTGTCGCTCATAAAGGTGGAATATTTTTTTTACCCCAATTTACTTCTCGCAGCATTGATAAATCAGGATGATTCCTGGCAATGAGATGACCGAATATATGATTTTACATTTCTTCTAGTGTATGATGTATGTGTATTGTGTGAAGTGATGACTAATAACGCTTTTTTTTGCTCGCTCGCTTCACTCGCTTGCAACATCTGGGATCAGGATAGTGTATTCTCGGGCAAGAAACCTCCACGGCCCTCACGTGAAAATGTGCCCGTACGTTTATAATGTAAGAGGGATGGAAAGCAAATCCTCTTTGATGAATTTTTGATTGCAGGGTGACGCGAAACTTTTAAACTTCTAAATGGGTGCCGTGACTGGAACACAAAAAGGGTTGAAAAACGGTGTTGTATAGAGTAGTGTGCACGTTTAGCAAATAATGTATTTTCTTGCACTTTCTGTTGTGTACATGATAAATCCCTTTTATTCTTAACAGATGCACCAACTCTCTTTTTATGAACTAGAAAATTGCTTTATGTGCAATCCAATTATAGATACATCTAAATACATGTAAATAAGCTTTACATTACGGTCTTTTCATCCATTTAAAAGAAATCTATATACATTCAACCACAGAAAGTTTATGTCTCTTACCATTTACAGAGTATACAAACTTATTCCAAGTGAACGGCTTCATTTTTTCTGTAGGACTTCATTTAAGATTATACATCAACTTTTCACAGGAGCATGGAGAAAAGTCGGTTATAAGAAGCTTAAATGGCATGAATAAGAAAATCGCTTAAAATTTATTTTGTCGAAAACTAGATTTTGTCTCTGGACTTTGATACAAATGAAAAATACAAAAGAAGTTAGGTTTTTTTCTTTCAACGAATTAAATTACAATCCTGATTACTGATTTTTTGTTGTTGAAGGAAATTATTAAAATTAAAACTCTCCAACCAATAATCGAAAAACGGCTACGTCTACCTCAATGTTCTTAACTTCTTATACATTTCTGTGGTATAACATCTTGGCCATCATCCTTAATCTGAGCATTTAAAAATTTCGATATTTATTTTGTTTGCGACTATTGGTTTCCATTTCCAATTTCAAGATTACGGTTGATAAAGAAAGTTCAAAAGGAAAAGGAAAATATTTTAAATATATAGATTGACAATAATTATCTAAGGAACTGTACACATTTTACAGAACTACAGACTTTTAACATGTCTGACATTTAAATATAGAATCATATTATTATGACCAAGAAACCCAAAAATATTATCCTTCATTTGACATGCTTAACAGTCGATACTATTTTCAAAGCGATTAATACATTTTATCAATGTACCTAAATATTCTTAGCCTAGCTTGAAATAAATTAAATTCTAATCGGCTCTAAATAATATTGTGATTGCCTTTTTGCTCGATGACAAAATCAACAGTCATAATTATATGTCCTTTCCTTTTCCTTTTCTTACCGTGTTCTATTTAATAAAAGAATCGGAGAGAAATGTGAAGCAAGAATTACGTGGAGTAGTTAGTTGTCCAGAGGTAAAATAGCAGCCGTTACAAATCGTGACAATGAAATCAACGTAAACTCGTTTGACTGAACGTGTTTCTATTGTAATGTGATCTTTTAATTTCTGGTAGAGCCCACTTGTAATCTTGTTATTTGCTCGTCACCATTAGGTTCTAAATTTGATGTCAAGAAAATATGGAAGACCCTCGCACTTGG